CTTAATAGCAAGAACCGCTCGGCTGCTCGTCCCGCGGATGTTTAGACGCCGCCGCCGCCGCCGCCGCCGCTGAATCAGCCCCGGTATTATGCAAATTCCGTTTGTTCGCGCTTTCCGCGCGCGCGCATTTCTCAAGCCCCGACGGCGCGACTGCGATGGCCGGGCCCTCCGGTTCCTCCGGAGAAGAACGAAGAAGCGCGTGTTGGCGAGGAAGGGGCAGCGCGATGCCGCCGCCGATACACCTCCACGGGCAACGACGCGCTGTGCGCGTACGTGCCGCCGTAAAGCTGTAAGTTCGAGATAACGCGTTCCGGATGCGGGACGAGTGTGTTGCGGATGCACGCGGGACGGGTTTAACGTGCGAAATATCGTATGTGATTTACGACGGCGACGGCAGCGGCGGCGACGGCGGCGGCGGCGGCGGCGGCGGCGGCGGCGGCGGAATTTAACGGGAAGGCGCGGCCGTTTTTGATACGCGTAATATTTCCCAAGGCACCCACCCCGCGTCGCGATACGCGACGGGGATGTGCGCATACGCGCGCGCGCGTTCTGTACACCGTACACGCGTAATAAAACATGATACATGGCGCACGTATGATTAGCTGTTTCATTAGCCGGCGGGTGCTTATTCGGCTTTTAGATCAGTGCACCGTGTATAACGCGGCGCGCGTAGCTCCCAGCGAATCGCCCTCGCACGAGAGCGGGGGGGCTGCTTTGCGCGCTCTCTCTCTCCCTCTCTCTCTCTCTCTCTCTCTCTCTCTCTCTCTCTCTCTCTCTCTCTCTCTCTCTCTCTCTCTCTCTCTCTCTCTCCATGTATTTTGTGCTTGTCCATTCGCCTACACGCGTTTCCACTACACGCGTCGTTACGAGGAGTTAGCGTCATTCGACCTCGCCTCGCGGATGCCATTGCCCGGCTCCGTTAATATCCCTGTGCGTGTGTACGTGTATATACCTCGAAGGATGACCGATTCCCGCTGGATGCTACTAAAGCTTAGTTCCAGGAACCGTGGAGGAAACAAAGATACACAAGCGGCAACTTGGAGCACCCCGGCAAACCCGGCTTGGGATCGTTTTGGCGGGAGCCCTCTGGGCTTGAGATAATTAGATAGCAGATTAAACGAAACATTTCTCTATCTGGGTCGAAAGGGGGTAGAAAGGGCTGATGCGCGTTTCTTCGATCGGGCTGTATAATTGCGGGGTTGCGTAAACGTTTCGATATTTCAGGAGATACACAGCCGGAATTTCGGTCATGCATCAAGTATGCAAATCCCGATCGAACTTGAAGAATCGACGCGGAGCATCGACATGGGCAACACTGTGCCAACTATTGGCCTGCTTTCGACTGTGTGAATGGTTGTTCGCTCTGCTGTTATCTTCATGAAGTTGAAGTTTATATAAAAAAGTATTAATTTCCTGCAATTGCTTGTGACGTTTGATTGTCTCGAGATTCTACTTGCATTTCATCTTTGTTCATCCCATTTTGGCGGGGAACAATTAATTGCAGATTTATGGATCGTTGATCGGATATTGATCGAGAAATATTTCTTGCACGGTATAAGTACAGATTGAGTAATCCGAGATTCATAATGTCACCATTACCATGCATTGAGCTATATCGGCCTAAATGGACTGTGTTCTTCGTTCTGGTTTTCGAATACAGCTACTCGCGCCTGGCCGACACTGACACTGACATTCGCGTAAAAACGATTCGAGCGGGCGAGCACGTGCGGGTGAAAGCCCGATTAAATATTCTAAGAGTCGATGAAATGATTTAAACACCCGACGGGAATAACTAACGCGCCAACATATGTGCTCCGCGTCGCGGTACGTGCGCCGCTCGTTGACTCGGAACGTAATGACGGCGGGGGAAGGTTGGGCGGGGATGTCAAAGTAATCAGCAAAAGTGTCAAATCTCAGCCAAATGTCGTTCTCAGCCAATCGCTCATCAAATTACTCGTCTCGGCAATCTCAGTAGCCGAGAGAGATTACGACGATCGATTGAACGATCTAAACGTTCTCCACGGTCTTACGTGGAATTTTTCATCGTTTTTTGTTCACTTACGTTTGAAAGAGTTATGCATATCGATAATACTGTACGATGTGATCGACACCCTCTCTGGACAATTCTGGATATAACTGTCGATCAAATTGTGCGATATATTCCGTAATGCAGGCAGCGACCCGTAAAACTGCATTGAAAAATAAGTGCCCACTCCTCGGTTTTGTTAAGCACACCTTTTTTCGCACTCATTCCGCCTTTGAATTTTGCACCCGACCGAATCGATGGGCTTGTCCTCTTTCGTAAAACCAGCGTACACTTTCAGCACTTAAAAAGGGGCAGGTATACAGCGGAGACTTGATGAAGAGAAAAAGAGGAAAAGAAAACTAGTGCATTTTCTAGTGCAGAAGGTTTCTCGAAAAAGAATAAGCCTGGTGTCGCGCAACGGTAGCAACCTGGCTGGCCAATATTTCGGTAATTGCGCAATGTATTTCAAAGAGATTTGATTCGCACAATGAATTGCACAAATCTCCAATACAGCTCCCAGACGATCAATAATATCGTGCAATATCAGATATCGTGCAATAATATCGATCGTCTAGAGGGGCCGCTTTATAGTTATGGTTATCGAATTTAAATTTCATTCTCCGCTTGTGCTCGGCGTTATTGCCATGCGTAAACAACTGGTATCTTTATGTTTGCAATTCATTTATTTTCATTCCTTCTGAATCTGAATCCTGGATCCAAATCCCATCGAAATTTCCAACGTTAATAAGAAATGACGATAAGCGGATTAAGGGGAAGAAAAATTTGTCCTTTTTTATTTACCCACTGATCCCATTATTTATTCGCGCTAATTATTTATTATTCGCCCGTCGCGCATATTCTACCTGCAGCTGCCGAGCAAATTGTACGATTGACCCGTTGCTTGGAGGAAGGAGAGATCGAATACAGGATCTCTTGAATTAGCCGGATATTCCCGATAATCCCGGAATTTTTTTGCTACTATATTTTCTATATTTTTCACGATTTTACTTTTTTTTCCTATTTATTATCCCGACGGATAACCAGCGAGTTATTGCGCAAAACGCGGTGATTGTTTCAATTTTATCCAGCGGAGCGCGAGCGATCCGATTTAAGCGGTGTCAGGAGCAGGAGCACGCGGCGGAGGAAGTCCTACGATTAAGACCGAATGCAGATAATAGTTATCAGGCAGATAATACGCATCTGGTGGGCGAATCAGTCGCTGGAGCGAGCGCACGCCGCCGAGAGATAGAGCTTAACACCAGCCTAGATTAGGCTTATATAGCAAATGTGCAACCGGATCCTGCAGACGCACGCTGCGAGCGTAACGGTCCTGCCTCTCTCCTCTCTCTCTCCCCCTCTCTCTCTCTCTCTCTCTCTCTCTCTCTCTCTCTCTCTCTCTCTCTCTCTTCGTGTCCGTCCCTCCTTCTCTCTGTCGAGCGTTTTCGCCCAAGTATCTGTAAATTCTATAAGTTACATATTGCGGGCGAAGTTCGTTGTAATCCAGCAACTTCGAAACTCGAGTGTCTTTGTGTAGGGGAACGACGAGGGTCCCGACAAACGCGGCGAGTGCGCGCACGCTGCTGCATCAAAGTAGTATGAAATAACTTTCGCGAGTCTGCGCGCGCTCGGGGAACTTCTCTCCTTTCCTATCCGCTCGAAAATTATTTCCACGAGAGCCCGAGTCCCTTCAAGCAAATGCCCCATCGGTCGGCTATTAACGTCTGCACTTTCGTGTCGGGGCGTAAGGCTGATTCTTCAATTAGTACGGCCGCACGTCCGCGGGCTATCATGCACACTGCACCCTTTGTCCGACTTCGGGAAGAGACGAGACGCCGCAAGGAGAGATCGTAAGTGCCAACTTTCGGCAACAGCAAAGGGAAATGCAGAGAGACTCGATGCATTTTTTTTTGCATGATGATTAACATGAGACTTGCTGGCGCTGGCGCGAAATTAACGGAGGGCGTTCGATCGTTCAATTTGCAACGTTCCGTCGCAACTTTCTACTTTTAACAGCGAGCGCATTTCTATGCATGAACTCAACGCGACTCGCTCCTTTGAGGACTGAAGCGGAGGGGAAGATGTCGCGAGGTCATTTTCATTTGACTTCCGATAATCGTTTATTTGTTCCCTTTATCCTTTATTCTTCATATTTAGATGTTGCTGAGGTCCTAATTCGACTAGAAATTTATCCCATGGTCCTGATCAGGTTAACCTCATTTGGATGTCAGGTCCCAATAAGGTAATCCTATCGTATCCTAGTAAGTTATGTAACGCAGCGTGGATATCAGGACCTTAGTAAGGATTCATAGTCAGGTTGAGTTATTGAGTTACCTTATGGAATCCTTATTACATTTTTTTTTTCAAATTATGGCTCCTGATTACTCGCCACGGCTATATTGGATGATGACATTAGAAATAAGAAATGACACGCTGAAAATTCTTTCGTGCCATTTCCAAATAAAAAGATATTTGCATGAAATAATATTTTAGATCGCTTGAGCATACTTGTGAAATGTTTCGGAAAAGAGACATAAAATGAATATCATAAGATCATAAAGTATCACAAGGTGACAAGACACAAAGTAGTGTTAAAGAGAAAAGTTGCACGTCATGTTAATTTTACAACTATTTATTGACTGCTAAAAAAAGGATAGTTTCTGTAGCATTTTACAAATATATTCAAGTGCTTTTTTTCAATGCAAACATCTTTATATTTGGAAATGACATCCAAAAATTGTTTTGTTAAAACTTGATAATGCAAATCATATTAGGTACAATGAATAAGATCCCGACAAGGACCTGATCAACTGAACCATATTATATGATACACTAGGTTGATACATTAAGATCCTAATGTGGACCCAATCATAATAACCTTATAAAGATCTTCCTTATTCATTTGTCGTTGGGACATTATAAGAACTGACTTACTTAGTGTTCCGAATTGGGAAATCAGATCTGCGGTTTCCCGTGCTCATTAAAATCTTCCAGAGGATTCTCGCGGAGAGAATTCTGGAAGCCGGTAACATCGAGTCACCGCTCGGGCAAATCGCCCATGTTTACAAGCGAATTATTTGCTCGATCTTGCCGTTTGGTCTTGTCTCGGCGTGTTACAATGTATCATTGTGTCCGTGACAATAACACTCTTGCCATTAGACGAAAAGTGCGAGAGTCAAATATCTCGTGACTCGTAACGGCAAAACAATGTTTCTATCGCCTAGATCTTCGTGTCAGCCAAACAAACATCTGTTCGAATCTGCCAATCGGTTCAAGCCGCATCAAATATATGAAATTATAAATATCACGGTCGATACCGTGGCGATAGATTTTCAGATTCAATTCTCGAGGATCCGTTCTGCTACCGCAGAGCCTCGAAAACGCGTCGCTCCGGCGCGTGATTTCTTTCCGCCGTCTCTTTATTGACTTGAGAATTCAGTATCCGTGCTCTGCAAACCGTGACCTTGCCGGGTCAATCTCCATTCAACACACAATTCAAACGACGGACCGTTGTACCGGGTCATCAACGAAATAAATCGTATCCGAAACGGGGAATCAAGCAATTCATTAACCAGAGAACCGATCGGTCCTCTCTCTCCTTTGGCTGACTCCTGTCGGCTCGATCCGCACTCGCTCTCGCGCCCAAGTTCTGGGTGATCCCAGCGTTCAAGGGTCGGTGCGACTATCACTCAACCCGCAACACACTTAGAATTACCTTTCATTCGCCCTATTGGATCCTTATCAGTGTTAGAATGAACCTGATCAAAATTTCTAGTCGGGAAGATTCGCTCTTCGCCCCTTTCACCGGGTCGGGTCTTTCCTCCAGGTCTTTCCTGCAGGAGCTTATTAGGTTTTACAATCTTTAAGTTACCTGAATGTGCAGCCTTGCGCCGGTAACGATAAACAAACTCTGTTGCCGTCTCGTTGCGCTCTCGCGTCGGCTGCGATTCCGACGCAGGGGGTCCGCGCGTTGCCTAACAACCGATTCCCCTGGTGGCGTAGCGAGAAAGAGGACGGAAACTAACACACGGGGCTAGCGGCAGTTCGTAACTCCTTGGAACTCGTTGCAACTGGTAACATCTTCGCTACTTCTCGAGTGACAACGGCGGAACGGGTTGGAAAGGTATAAAGCGACGTCGTTCCTACGTCGTGAGACACGCGCCACCCAACACACGTCCTCGCGTAGTCTGACGCTTTGATCTTTCGCCCCCTGCCGCTGCGACGTCGTCAGGCATTGAGGATGGGCCACCTTGGGGACGGGTGTTCTGCTTTCCTCTCCCCGGCTGAACGGCGGACCACGGCTCGAACGTTCTTTCGCCACTTTTGTCGCGGTGTCTTTGACTTCGTTGACCGAGGCGACAGGTCGGCTGGGTCGGAGGGAAGTCAAGATGGTGGCGCGCATCTGAGAGAAACGTCCTTCGCCGTCGTAAAATCGAATCCTCCGGACGCGACAACGAGCTCCAATCTACCCCCGCGCCGTTTCGGCCGCGCGCAGCCGTGTTGTCATTATCGCCGCGTTGTGTTTACCCTCCTTGCAACCCGCTGTGTACCGATATGTTGTTTCGCACAGAGTGATCCAATCGAGCGGTCTATCAATTTTCCGCCGAGTGTAAATCGCGAGTGTACACCGCCGCGCCGCGCCACGCCGCGCGTCCGAGGCCATTTTTTGTGCATCGAGAATTCGCCCCAGATAAATGAACCGTCGACGGACCGGAGTTATGCCAATTACCCGGACGTGTTCCTTCCGTTTATCCGGAAAAATCTCTCTCCGCTGCGGATTTAATCAGCTCGTGCGGTTTTGCAACGGCGCCGCTGCTGCGAGTATCAAGATTCCCGTATGATCGCGCGACTTTCTTATCGGTCCCGCTTCGGCAGTCCATTCCGGTCGCGGAGCGCGATAAAGCCCACGAGCTTTCATCTTTTCTTTTGGCTCCTCTCCTCAGCTATCGAGCCGGCTGAATGTAATAACGTCGACGTGTATCGACGGGCCTGCTGAGCAACCGGTGCAACAATGATTTTTGCTTTGTCTAAATGCATCTTCGGTGAATTTGCGAAACGCGATATTCACGTTCGCCCGATATTCATGCGCGCGCGGTTATTATCGGCGAACGCTTCGCCGTCAACTTTCACATTATTCGTTCATAAGAGAATAATTTAGATAAACGTATATATGTGCGCGCGCGCGGCATTCGATGCGTCAGTGTTACAGGCGCTTTAGCGTCATACGGCGATAATTATCGCGCGCGTGTTTCTCTGCCGTTCATTTAATATTTCAGGCTGCTGGCGTAAACAAAAGTGTATCGGATTTCCCGCTGCAGGCCGGTCATATTGACCGGACGCGGTACAAGCGCCCGCTCGGAACCGCATGTGCATTAATAATCCCAATAAAATATATAATCAATCGCCGACAATGGAGAGTCGGCGCGTAAATGCACAAATATCCGCGCCTTGAGAGGAAAAACAGCCGCGTTGTTCCCTCGGTCGTCCTTTCGATCGTCGACAAGTTACTTGACATTTTCAGGATTTCACGCAGCGTGCGTGCACAATTTCCTGAGACCTCGGCGACGCTCGCAGTTACGCAATGCGAGCTAGCAGCCGCACAGGGCGTGGAACGAACGTTCCGCAAGCTCGCGCCGAGCGGACACAATTTCCCGCGATCGGACGAAGGAAGTGAGAGAGAGAGAGAGAGAGAGAGAGAGAGAGACGAAGAAAGCCGAGCGAGTAAAAAGTTCGGCGGATAAATCTCGATTAAGGACGCGTGCTTTTTCCGGCCGGAGAGAACGCTCGTCGCGTCGTCACGTGATTTTGCGCGCGTTATATTCCCATTATTGGGGAGCATTACGAGGGTCGCGCGGCGCGGCACGATGCGACGCGACGCGATGCGACCAACCCCGGACGGGCCACGGTAAAATGAACGTAACGCCGATAGGGTTGATAGATCACGCATTTCCCTGACGCCGTCGATGAGCCGGTGAGCGAGCGAGCGGGCGGGCGGGCGAGCGGGCGAACGAACGAACGAACGAACGAACGAACGAGCGAGCGAGCGAGCGAGCGAGCGAGCGGACGCCGGCTATTTCATTTTCCATCTCAGTGGATTTGCCGAGGCTAATCGATAATCACACCACAGACACGCCCGACGCTCGCTGCGATAACAGCCAGCGAATGGAGAAGCAACTTCGCCCTTGGGAAGCTATTCCGGCAACGGTTATCGACAGTCGGCAGCCTCTACTCATCCTGCGCACTGGGCGTGATTCCTCGAGTAGATGTTTCATATTTCGTGCACGCTGCGCGCCGCTATCACTGAGGTCGCGAGAGAAATCGCGGTTTCGACGGAAAAGCCGAGAAGGACGTGTGCGAAAGGGGAGCGAAGGGCGAGCTCGCTCACGGGGGGGAAGTGTCCGCGGCATTTTTTTCGACTCACTTCCGCGAGACCTCGCCGTGGCTCAATCGATCCATCGACACGATTTCGTTCACTCGACTGATTCATTGGACTGTGCGGCGCTATTAGGCCCGATAATCGCGTCCGGCATCTACGGGAGACACATGCGCGAGCTGTACGCGAGTTTGTCGCGCGACGTTCTTACTACGTTTACGCGAGGAATGCTTTTTCTTGGCGCGCGCGCGCGCGCGCGAGTGCGACCATCCGCGTACCATCGACTGCGAAAGTCACCGAGCATACCGTCCGATGGTTACATTGCCGTTGCTGGGAATGCAGTTGATCGCGCGCCGTTCGTCTCACGCCTCATCGCACCTTTGCTTCTTTCGTGTCGGTCAATATAGTCCCGTGTCGGTCTGCAAATTGTTCCGGAACTAAACCGGAAGCAATTAGCAACGTCTGCGTATGCGCGCGTTATTGAATTGGCACGCGGAGGCGACGGCGGCGGCGGCGGCGGCGGCGAGTTATGAACGACGTCGTGACGCGATCGAATGTGCTTTGGACGGTCTCGACGCTGTGCAGCTTGGGCTGAAGATTCGAGGAACGATCGAGCCTCGAGCTCTCGAAAGGTGCTGATAATTTATCCGTTCGATGCATTCATCGTGGGCGAATGATTCAACGACTCGGATGACTCGAGCGTAGATGATATTCCTTAAAGTCTCTCTTCGTGCAGGTGTCGTTTCCTGTGAACTAGATTGCCCGACTCCTCGCGCTTCAAATTGTAACTGGACTTGTGTCTGATGAACTATGCTAATTATCTGTCGAATCGACGGGCATCCGCGCATTGTCTAGCGCGACGAACTCAGCCCTGTCGAGGGGACCGTCGTTGATCGCGAGCGTTCCCGCGACTAATTAAAGTTGACTCGTCTCGCATGCGTCGTGGTCGCGCCCCCCCCTCCCGCCTGAAAACGAGGTCAAAGACCGACAGCCCCTGACCGGCCAGGTGACAGCAATAACGAAAGAAATTTATTGAGACGGATGGGACGGCGCAAACAAAACCGTGGAAATTGCGGGAATACGTCGTTAACGGCTAGGGGCGTCGTAAAAGCGCCAGCCGTGCCGCGCGCCGAAATCACCACTTTTGCCCCGGAAAATTAAGGAAACTCCCCCCCTAACAGTCAACATAATTCCCGACGTAACGGCCGATCAACGTAACTATTCCCGTAGCGCGCAGACGCGGAAATCTTTACTGCAGACTGCTCGCGCAGATGCGCGACGTCCGGCGATTTATTTATTTACCTCGAGACGCGCGGAAACATCGGTCAATTTTGCGAGATGCAACAAAAATATATATGTGTAAAGTGCTCGATAATGCTAAGATAAAAGTAGCTGGAAAACGCTACCTCGAAGAGGTATTTAAATGTTTTTTCTCGCCGTTCCCTCCGAATATTATTTTTCAAATTGCTTCAAACGCGATGGCGCGCACGGTAAATATCATCTGTGGAAAAAGAACGAGTATATTTTGTCCAAGTCCGTCCGAGAATACACAGGAAACAAATAAACATACGACGATAAAAGGATATACGAATACGCGAGTATTTTGTAGCTCTTTGGAAGCTGATTTTGTCTTGCGGACGATTACTTCATCAGCCACGAGCAACGGCGAATATACCTCGGTATATATTTTGCCGTTCTACCTCCCCGGTGTGTGAGTGTTATGTCTGTGCGGCAAGTTCCATTTACCGGGCGTCCTTCCTGTTTTTATTAACCGATCGATCGACCTTACCGGGAACTTCGATCGTAACGGATAAAGTCAACGTCGGAGTTTCGCGGTTTTGTTTGGCGGTGCGATATCGCTATGGCAACTTTGTGAATCGCTTGCGCGCGCGCATTTTCCACACACTTCCGCGTCGTTTTTCCGCGAGGAATCGTCGGTCCCGCTGGAAGAAGAGAAGGCAACGGCTGATGTATTTCTTCGTCGCGGTGCCCGGTGCATTGACCGAACACGCGATAAGCCAATTAATTAGGCTGATGTGTAACGTTTGCGGGTATCATCGATTCGTATCAATCGGTCGAGTTTGAACAGGCTCGTCCAGGTAAGGGTCGCATCTAAAAGCCATTTAACGGCACGTTAATTAGCGAAATTACTGCATTAACGGTAATTAGAACGCGAGCGAGCGACCGCTTCGTTCCTCGCGCGAAGGGCGCGATTATTCGTTCCCGTTATTTGCATACCGCAAACATTCTCATCGCGCTATCAATGTTTAATGCGATATCTTCTAATTATAGCAGAAGAACCGAGCAATGTTAACGAATTTGCTCCACCTCGTCGGAAAACTCCATTTTCTGCAATTTGCTCGCGAATAACGTCATACTTACATTTACTTGTTCTCGTCCTGTCAACGTCTCGATATTGATATACATATTTGTCTGTATTTGTCACATACTGTGTCGTTTGCACACGCACACACACACACGCACACACACACACATACATGCTCTCTCACACACGCGTACGATGTTTGGAATTTGAAATAACAGGATAACACTCTTTTTCCTTTTCCCGTCTTTTCTTTTCAATCGTTTTATTAACCGCAATCGTTTCAGGATCTACTTGTGTATTTATATTCCAGCGATCGAGTTTACGTCTCGACAAACAAAACTGAAAATCCATCGCGGATCCAAAAAGCTCGGCTATTCCAATCTCGCGGATTTCGAGCGAGCGGGAGAACGGCTCTTAGAGAGATTGACGTTTCATTTATTTAAAGAATATACAGTCGCGCGCGCGAACGCAATCGGGAGAAACGAGTTCTCCCCGTAAAGGATAGTTGGTCCTAACGCATCCGGGTCGACGTATCCCTAGGCAGGTCGACAGTAAACAGACGGGAAGAAATCTGTATGCGGTAGCTGTTCGCGTGGATGCAGGTCGAGGGTCTCCGGATTTGAAAGTTTGTCTTTAGCTCTCGAGCTGCAGTATAAAAATCTCGTTTGTACAGCATACAGGATCCGGCGGGCGCGGGCGACTCGCGGCGAGAAGAAGACCGGAAGGTCTGCGGGCGCCGAGGAAATAACAACAAGAAGCACCGCCAGGGACGGAGACGAGCAACGAGATGCCGATTGATTGTTATTACTTACCGCCAAGCCCACCCTGTCGCAGCGTCATGTTACTCGCGAAAGCTCTGGGCGTTCGTTTCAACTTCAAGATGCTGAACGTCATGAAGGGGGAACACATGAGCTCGAAATTCTTGCAGGTTACTCTCTCGCGATTTACTCGCACCTCGCGCTTTTACGCTGCCGCGCACTCCAATTCATTAACTTTTCATACGTGCGAATAAATGCGAGCGTGTAATGCATTATGTAGAAAAAGCGTAATTATATGTAGGTTTCGGTAGGAAGCGACTCGTGTGTTCAAAGCGCTCGTAAGCTTCGTTGATTTTGCGGATTCCGCTAATGTACTTACCGAAATGCGCATAATTTTATCGCGGTCGTGCTTTTTAGATAAACCCGCAACATATGATACCGACTATCGACGACAATGGATTTATTCTGTGCGAGAGGTATGTAAAATTTAAATTTCTAGTTAAACGAATAACCGGGTCGAAAAGACACGCGGTGAAATTATTCTCGATACTTTAAATATCCGCGATATTTATTCTGTTAGATTTTCTTTCTCTTTTACCCTCTTTATTTTCCAATTTTCCATTTTACAATTTAACTTGATCTATTTATATCTTTCCTTTATTCTTATTTTTATATTGTATTAATTTTATATACTCGAACGAAGATCTTCAATTATTCATAAAACCCTGTAAAACCAACGAGATTAAACGGGATTTACTGAATCACCCGTTTATCCCAGCGTGTACTTGTCCGAGTTTACGTTTTAATAAAAATTTATTCAAACGGGCATCTAATTCTCTGTGTATGCAATTAGATGAATTTTATACGTTCCATTGCGCGCTATTACAGTCGCCCGATCATGGCATACTTGGTCAGTAAATACGCCAGAAACGATTCTCTTTATCCGAGAGATCCGAAGCAGAGGGCAGTGGTCGATCAAATGATGTACTTTGATGCTGGCAGTCTCTACTCCAATATAGTAAAGTGTTACGTACGTGTCGATTTTCATCCACAACATTGCCTCAACGCGATTATTTTCACGGCAAATTATTATCGCAATGTGTCCCGTGGTCAGATATCGGATATCGTCATGACCGCAGATTTTGCGGCTAATCTCTCTCTCTCTTTCTCTCTCTCTCTCTCTCTCTCTCTCTCTCTCTCTCTCTCTCATTTCATGTATTATATAGTATTTTTGAAACAATCCGTAACGCTGTACTTACAACACAAGTTACTCAGTCCATATGCATAATAGATTTGGTTTGGCGTACGTCGCAATTATCATTTCAGCGGAATATCAGCAAGAATTATTCAAAGGTGATATTTATAGAACTCAGGCAACAGTAACTAACAGAAGTTTTCGCGCGCAGGTACCCGTAGCCCGAGGTCTGTCTCATTCCGTTAACGAGGCAGATCTGGAACGAGTGGAGAAATCGTTCGAGGTGCTCAACTCTTTCCTCGACGGCAAGCAGTTTGCGGCGGGCGACGATCTGACCATTGCTGATTTCACCATCAGCACGTCTATCTGCTTGGTGCAGGTGAGTACGCTCGCGATTGACGAGATTCGTACGGCGAGATTCGTACGGCGGTCATGAGCACGATTCCAACGATTTCTCCGTTGCAGTGTTTCGACTTCGACATTAGCCGTTACGATAACGTCGCCGCGTATTACGATCGCTGCAAGGAAAGTCTGGAGAAATTCGGCTTCGAGGAGGTACACGCCATCGGTGTTAAAACGTTTACCGAGATGTACCACGCGAACCTGCAAGAATCCAGTTAACGCGGATACGACTATGGATATTTGTGCGCGCCTAAAGAGTGAAGCAGAGAGAGAGAGAGAGAGAGAGAGAGAGAGAGAGGTGGGAGGGAAAGATAAAGAGCGACGAAGGGGGAGAGAAAGATCGATAGTACCTCATTTACCTGAGATCGAGATTAGACATGGAAACCCATCGTTACCTTATAGAATTTAAAATTCGCTTCTTACCTTCGTGAGATTTTCAGTCTCGAGTTTTTCACGACTTTATTGCCGCGCAGATCTAGCGACGAACATCTCGGAAGAAAATCGCTGCTATATATTGCGTACACGCAGCTCAGCGGCATCTTCTTGTATTTACTTCCATTGCAATTAACAATGTTTGAAACGGGAAATCAATGTTGAACGACCCTGTACGAGGAGCGTGCTGCGTTGTAATATCGCCCAAGTAATTATACTCTGCTTCTTCTGCTTCTGCCGTATCAAGAGATACATGTGGTACATCGATCAATTGACACGTTTGGAGAGAAAAAGAGGAACATGGACACGCGATGGATCTAATCGGAATCTAAGCGCGTTGCCAGGACGTATCCGAGTGAAAAAATAAACGCAATGACTGCTGATTTGCATTTCTCCTTCATTACATCCTCCCCACTCCTCGGCCATCAGTTTCCTAAATACAGGCGTTTCTGCAGCTGGCGATCCGCGATGAAATTTATCAAGCTAACAGGAATCGATATTCGTCCGCCGGACGAAGCTGAAAAGATATAACGACGGCGATGACGAGTCGCGAGGAAATGTGTAAAGTCGACGGCGCCGCACACGCGCGCGCGCCTCGCCTTGTCATCATTACACTTCGTTCTCTTAATTACGGCATAACGTAGAGCCCAGTAGCATGTACACTGGAGTGTTCAGTGGAGTCTAACGCAGCGCGTACACATCGTGTTACCCGAGCGTGCATTAGGGAGGCTGATAACGATCGTCGAGACGAACGAGAGAGAGAGAGAGAGAGAGAGAGAGAGAGAGAGAGAGAGAGAGAGAGAGCCCGAGGTGTCAGACCGCGTTGTTATCCGCCGATCTTATCACTCCGTTCATATTTTTCGTTCGGCCATATGGCACGCCTCCGCGCCGCTGCGCGTGTCTTCGTGAACGGCTGAACATTTTCGCTAACGTAATTGCAACGCGACGGCGATGATAAAGGCGACGCTGTTATTATACGCGAAACAATACGAAAGCCCGCGCGCGTTATACAGCGAGCGCGCGCGCTCTTTTATCCGCATCGACATCGCTTATACCCTGATATGGCTACGTGCGTGTATTGTATTGGTCGTACAGCAACATGCGCAGGCGGTTACGTAAGAACCGGCGATTCCCGGCTGCGTTCATGATGACGAAGGAGAAACGCGTTCCACGTAGACGCGGAATCCGGTTTATTCGTGGGCAGCAAAAATCTTGCGCGCTGCATTCGTTAGCTCGTGTTAGACACGTCGATGGGATCTTGTGTGTGTCTCTCTCTCTCTCTCTCTCTCTCTCTCTCTCTCTCTCTCTCTCTCTCTCTCTCTCTCTCTCTCTCTCTTCGCGCAATCGAGGCGATTTTCCGTTCGATAATGAACGCGGAGATCGAGGATTATCCCGCGAACGATGGATGAATTTCTGTTCGAGATTGACTTCTTGTTTGTACACGAAAATCTGTTGCTCGAGTGGAAAGCTTCCCTCGATTCAGCTTTCGCGTTAAAAGGTTGTACTCGGCTCGTCTTCTCTTCGATCTGCAAGCAAATTCTCGCGCGCACATAAATGTGCGCTTATTACCGCGTGAGATAAAAAGCAGCGTAGCCACGTCAAGCGGCGCGGCAAAGGTATCATTATCGCAGCGGTCTCTTGCGGCGGCATAGTTGTGTGTTATCCCGATGCAGTTTCTGACACACAAGTTGTGCCACTGCCGCCACTACCACCACCCCGGCATATACGATCTGTTATCAGACTTGTACGTTTGCATCAGCATAAACTTAGATCCGTAAACTAATCGTTGCCGACGTATCTCTGGCTCTTCTCGCTTTATGATTTACATACTCTCCGTACGATCACTCATCATTCATCAGTCGCGAGATATGTTTGACACCCGAGAGAATTTCAATTCTCAAAGCTCCGCGAGAGCGATCCGAGTAGACTTATTAAAGCTTGTTGCGATCGCCGATCGCCGAGTAGCCCATGACGAATTTCAGTGTGCACTCTTGAACTCGCTGGAGCGGTGAGACAGGTCGAACTTACCCACGTCGGAGTCGCGGACGAGCCCTCGCGAACTTGAAACTCGCTGATACTCCAAACCTCCAACGACGGCCTCAGTTTCATATAATATCGCGCCATTAACGCGCTTCGCTATTATCCGCGAGCGTGTTGCGCGCGGGAACGGTCCCGCGAGGGATTATTCACGAAATGCGAAAAACGTCTCTGTTATTTCGACGTCGATCGCAGTCACAAATGTGACAAACGTGTATAACGCGATCGATCGAGCCGGCTCGTAAACTCTATGAAACTGTGGCCCACTTTTATCCGGAGCTATGCAAGGGACTAACGCCGGGCTCCCACGCGACGCGCACAATAACGCACACACAACACTATGTATGTTACAATACGATGTCGAATTAGCGCGTGCTCCGAATTCGAGGGATTCGTTCTGATCAAAGCCGGACGGGCGGTTTTAATCGCTCGCGGTTGACCGTCCGGTGCAACTTCCTCGGAGAACGCGACGGGCATTATCGCGTAAGTAGTTCTATCGAGTTATTAGCCAGTTGCCAGCAGCTCGGCCAATGCGTTAAACTTTTAACGCAATTATACTTGGAAATTTCCTACAAAGCGAATTAATTCGCCGCGAAACTAAGTAACATAAAGCGGTTAAGTTGATAACGTCGATGGATTATCGCATAAGCGGTTAGATCGAGCTCGCTCATCGGAGCCTTTTTAGACGTTTTCTTGACGTCAAAATTGATTCCCCGCCGGTACGTTCGCGTAAATAAAGCCAAAGTTAGCCGGGATTTAACTCACTTTTTGCGAAAAAGAAACATTTTTCGCGCGTGCACGTCGTTGTGAGTCGAGTTGTGAGTCCGCCGGAAGTGTCGCGTTTTTGCGACTTTAGAGCAGGGAGGGAAGGAAACATTCACGGAAATATTAATTAAAGCCGAGTCTTCGTGTCGTAATGGAACGCTGTCAATTCGATGACGCATTGTCACGAAGAGAGTTGTGGTAAGTCTAAACGCGACGTTAGTGCGCAGTTTCCCAATAGAACATGAAGTTGCAACGTTGTGCAATCGGAAAAGCAAAGTTGAAGCACTTATACAGGCTGCTTCAAACAGAACAGAACAGACTGGCTGCACGTAGTTATATTCTTCTTATCAAGAGAAACATAAAAGTTTTAGTAATTAAGTTCTAATAAGTAACTAAGCATCTCAGATATTATATCTGTAACAACTTTTCCGTTGGTCTTCATGAAAAAAATATAATTACATACAGCCTTTTGAAATACCTTGTATATATCCAATTACGTAGATGGTGTCCCTCATATTGAAGTATATCACAATATGAAATATATCGCAAAGAGCAAATCGCAAAATACATTTTTCAATGTGTGATCTTGCTATAATATTTCTATTTTATTTTTGCACCAAGTGACAAAATGGATTTCAAATTAATTGCAGCTTAAGAATTAAATACATGGCTCGTCAACGATATTAAAGATTTTTTTATATTATTATATTTATATTGTTTTTATATTTATACTTTCCTTGACATTTATTTTTATATTCGCTTATATTTTTCAACTTCTATTTCTACCTTTATATTTACACATCCATCTCTATGTTTACTTTCATCTATTATTACTCTTACTTTTATTATTCTTTATCAAAGAAATTCTAAAAAAATTTCCGTCAAGGCGAACCATACTTCATCTTTCGATGAAGTTCCATCGTTAAAACTGAAAACATTCTCGTAGTTTCTTTCTCTCAACAGCGTCATCGATACTACTCAAATTGAAAAGTACTTATCTTCGCGTTACCAACGATCATTTCCGAACGCTACCTTTGCTACATTCAATCCGATGAATGCAATTGATGTACATTAAAGCGGTATATTCGCATCGGGAAGCACGTTCTGAAACCTTGAGCTTCAAGGCCTCATAAAGGCTCCCGCGCTTTCACTTGTATCGTTAAGCGGCTGCCTCTCAATTGCTTTTGCGGAAGGTAGTGCTCAGTAAAGACGGCCAGAGCTGCGGAACTTATGTAACTTTTGCAGAAAAAAATGTAATAGATACCTGTGAAAATCTATGCTGTTTCATCAACTTGCTGGTAATTAAACAGATAGCACTGATTATTTAACGCTTTAATAATTAAGTTCGCGACTAATGAGAAATCCATAGTAATGTAGAAATATACATTAAGTTACGCAAAACTGATCACGAGCTTATATTGTTAAGAGTGTTGTTGCGCTTATTCGAAGCATCGATAGTAAGCGTTTCGAGTCCAGTGGAATGGCAGGGTCATGATAAACGATTAATTACGAGATATGGGGTTAACCCATAACAATTCTCGTTGCGCTCGCAACGAGAATTTGAACGCTGTATGTCTCAAGAGCACATCATCATCGCTCGAATTATCTCATGTTCAGTAAAATTTTAGCACCGACCAGATTCGTAATTCGTCGCTCATTACTGCTTTAATGCCGTGTCATTGGCGTAAGCGTGACGAAACAAATGTCATTTTTTCTCTATTCTTCCGCCGTCGATAGAATCTTGTGTTGAATCATTTCCCCAGCAGCGGCTATGATAAACCCGCAGGCTGTTACTTTTCGACGTGCAAAGTGAAGCGTGATCGGCACTTTTGCCGTTGTGACGAATTACATCGGCTCACCGGCTGCAGACTGATTAACAATCAGCCGGATATATATTATCGGGGCTAGATACATATTATTGATAAATTGAACTTTGCGCAACTGTGTTTAAGCGAAATTTTATGAACGAGTTTTATCGGAAAGGGGCAAGGTCGAGTCGCTGGCGCTCTATCTTCCCCGACTATGAATAGACATATATGAGACGTACATAAGACTTACAAATATGGACGTGCCACTAAAACACTGCAGTGCTTAAAGTGCTGCACTGTGACAGATAATGATAACTAAACTGTACTGGAAAAAATCGAATACTAAAAATAGATACAGTGAATGAAAGCGTCTCGAATAATCGAAGCAAAAGCGAAAAATGCTGCGATTCAGAAAGAAATTCCTAGAGATTAACCTAATCTGACGAAAGAAAGAATCGGAATGAAAATCAAGCGAAATTTTTAAATAATAGTACAAAGCATCCAAGTGTCGAGATTGTGCGAATTTTCGTGCTTGGCCGGCTCGAAATTTTCCATTCTCTCACCGTTGATAATTCGGAACGAGGAATTGCTCCAGAGCGGCTCCAGAAAGTTGTCGACTCGCATGGAGCACGATGTGCACCGGTCGACGACAGACGAGCGAGTTTTTAATAATGTATGCGGCTCGTGGCGTAACACGTTATCGTTGTTATTCAAATAAAACGGATGTAGCGAATCGAAAAAGTCAGCCGGCGTGAAGCGCCCGATCAAGGCGACGCTCGCGCCGGTAGTCAGGATTGAGAACCTTCGGCGCATAATCGATCTCGCTCTCGCGTGCGTAGAATAGTGAGGCTGCACTGTTCACGCAGGGTTTATAAATAGCTTGAACAAGCACGTTGCTTAGACAGTCTGCCATAATCCCTCTGAGCGTCTCCAGAGATTCACAGGTACGGTCTGCCGCGGCTACTCTTTCTCTCTCTCTCTCTCTCTCTCTCTCTCTCTCTCTCTCTCTCTCTCTCTCTCTCTCTCTCTCTCTGTCTCTTTTTCTCCTCTCACGCCCTTCTTTCGTCTGCTCTTTTTCCCTGTTCCCTTCAAGTGACACGAGTAATCCGGCTCGAGTGACACAAGAGACCGCCTCTACGATCGCGAATTTGTGACTCACGACGCGCGAACTCGATCTCACGAGGGATCCGCCGAGCAATCTCGTATCGCTCGACACGTCGCTTCTCGTTTATGAACGCGGAAGTTTGCATAATCAATTTCCGCGTGCGCGAAGTGCGAAGACAAATGTGTGAAGTTACAGTGCTCTCTCCGTGCCGCTGCTCGCGACAAATTCGTCTCGGCCATACGGTATTCCACGAGTTCCCGTCGAACGTTCGAGCCGCCCACGCTGACGTCTCGAAAATGCTGATGACTCGTACGCGTTCTATCTTCTTTGCCGAGTGGCCCCTTTTCGCACCGTTCTCTTTCTCTCGTATTTGTTCTCTCTCGTCTTTCGTTTGGGGTCACCGCCAAGCGGTATTCAATGAACTCTCATCTACATTTTCTCGGATGGATCTTACGTAACACACACTTACACGGCCATGCGTAGCTCATAGATCGGTAACTTTTATCATAGATAAGGAAATCGAGATACGAGATATTATATCTCGGAGAAGCGCGACGCAGTTCGATAGCGATAATGATATTTCCAAATGGATTCTGCGATTGATCAGAGCACTCGTGAGAGGCAAGCGCGAAGCGTATTCGACTTTTCTCCTTTAACAGTGAAAACGCTCGAACGACATGAACGTGCGCGATTTCGCCATCGCCATCGCGATTGTGTGTTGCTGCATCGTGTTATTAATATGGAGAAGAGAAATATTTGGCGACATCACGCAGCCAATCTCCACGTTAAACAGTAAATCAACAGTACCTGAGACATTCCCGCGCGACTGCGCGGTGACACGTTCATCCGGGAGTCGTGCGGCAAATTGGATCTCGCGTGGCGCGACGACGCGACATTTTCCAAATTCGCCGCTTCGCGCTTTTGCACGACCCGGTAGCCGCGCTCGAAGACCGCACGCTGTCTGCCTGAGAAGTTACGCCATCACTGCTGCGATTAAGGCCATCACATACACACACACACACACACACACACACACAAATGAACTTAAGCAGTAAGACGTAAAGCAGCAAAATACTGACCAATCACAATCAATTATTCTCGTAAATTTTAAAATGTCGTCCTTAAGTTTCGATTGTAATTGGTCGATTTGTGCTTACTGCTTACGTCTTACTGCTTAAAGCGGGAAGCACACACTCTAAAGGTCATTCTACAATACGTGTCGTAAGTTGTAAGCCGTAAGAATTGGCGAATCACAGTCGCGATTATCAATATCATTCTACAATGGCTGCGAGAATAAAGTTGTAAGCGTAAGCAGCAAGAAACGAATCGACCAGAGTCGATTATACTTATAATAATCGACGGTGGTTGGTTCATTTCTTACTTACTACGCTTACGCTTACAACCTTATCCTTGCAGCCATTGTAGAATGACCTTTACAGCTATTGTAGACGAGCCTTTATATATGCAAAAATAATCGGCTATAATTGGTCAGTTCTTACGGCTTACAACTTACGACACGTATTGTAGAATGACCTTAACAACGCATAAGGAAATGGACCAATCAGAGTCTTTCGTTTCAAGCGTGGCATTAGAAATGAGGATTCTGATTGGTTTATTTCTTTATGCGTTGTGCATTATGCCTTTATGTAAGAGCGTGTGCTTCCCGCTTAGATTCGTTTGTGTGTGATGGCCTTTACCGGTGTCTCGTTAAGCGGCACGGCAAGGCAAGGCACGTGTTAGCACGGCCGGCAGCAGAAGGACATCGCGCGCGCACGCGCGCGCGAAGCGATCGCGCCGAGCAACCTTCTCGCGGGATTAATCCCGCCAATTTCACGCCGCGACCGCGACTCGTCGGCAATCGCTCGGGCGCCAACAGCTGCGTCTCTGCGGACCAATTGAACGAACGCTTGTCGTTCGCCCGGAAAAGCACAGCTTTCATATTTCTCTCCTGCTAATCGCTCCGATCCGATCTGCAACGGACGCGCTCCGAGTGTCGCGATAAAAGTCTTCGACTCCGTCGAGGCGGACGCGGATGGCTGCTTCGAGATGCTACGAATTCGCAATATTGCTCGGCGAGTAAAGCGATAATTGGCAAACTTCCGCTATTACGAATGTCGTTGTATCGTTGTATTGTATGTATATCGCGCGACGGAGTGCGTATTTGGCTGTCACGCGTCTCATTATGATATCGCCAACAGTTATCTAAAGTAAACGCTACGTCTGGCGTCTAACATCGGCAGGCTGACGTTCGCGAGCTTGTCGCGCGAAAGATATCGCGATTCGCTCGTCCGAATAGTGCTTTATTAATTCCAAGCTTCTTTATCGCGGCGCGGGCGGATGCGCCTCTTCGCACAATCAATGTTTCTGCAATCAACATTTCATCGGACTGCGGACATCTGCCTGCCGACGTCAATCCGCGCGGCACTTCAGCTAATCGTTCAGATAACGGAGATAGCGGAGTACTTGGAGAGCACTTGGAGATGGATTTTACATTTTCTTTTGTTTCGTTAACGTGTTCAAAGTACCTAACCTATATTTTTTTCTTATTGTTTGGACTTCTACCTTTCATTTAGTACAAAAATTATATCGATTAGTTCTTTAGTTTTGTTTTTATCCCAATTTAAAAATGGAAGAGCAAGACGTGTACTTGAGACATATTTTATTGTATTATTTCCGAAAAGGCAAGGACGCATCGCAAGCACACAAGAAGTTATGTGCCGTATATGGGAATGAAGGCTTGAAAGAAAGGCAGAAAAGAAAGAAAGGTCAAAATTGGTTTGCCAGATTTCGTTCTGGTGATACTTCATTGAAAAATGCTCAACGATCTGGCCGTCCAGTTGAAGTCGATGAGACCCATATCAAGGCCATTATCGATTCAGATCGTCATAGCACAACACGTGATATTGCAAAGAAGCTCAATGTATCGCATACATGCATTGAAAAAAATTTAAAAAAGCAAATTTAAAATTTTGAATTTTCATTCTTATTTAAAATCCGCTATCACTTAGTTGCCAACCCAATATCTTGCTGGTTTGCTCTATCGGCTTGTCGCCTGTCAAGATAGGAAACGCTTACTTGCATACGCGATAATAGATACCGGTCTTTTGTGCGCCTCAAAAACTTGTGTAAGCGTATCGTTGAATACATTTCCACGTCGCTCGCCTCCGGCAGAAAGAGGAGAGAGCCCGACCGTTTAGTCCGCGCAATCGATCACCGGCCGCTTCGTTAATCGCACCTTTTCGCAGATCGCAAGATGCCCATCGATCTTTACCAAATTCCCGGCAGCGCCCCGTGCCGCGCCGTGCGTCTGGCAGCGGCCGCCATCGGAGTGGATCTGAACCTGAAACTGACCGATCTCATGGCCGGCGACCACATGAAACCGGAATTCCTCAAGGTAACTCGCGACGACCGAATTCCGAATTCCGACGTCGGGAACGATATACTTCCCGGCGCATCAGCAGACGCGCGTAATAACGCGTTGAGGCCACGTACGTAGGGCCGAGAGGGCGCGGGAGGGAGGGGAACGTTGGCCGCGACACGTTGTCCCAGGCGGAAATATTCGCGTGGAATTTCGCGTTTAGCGGGAAGTCGCGCACCTCACCCGCCTTTTCCGGGTGGCCGCGCGACTTGAGGCGATATCATCATGTTCTTATCTGTTTGAATCCGCAGATGAACCCGCAGCACACGATTCCTACGATGGACGACAATGGCTTTTACTTGTGGGAAAGGTACGAAGGGAGAGATCTTATCTTGTGACGCGTCAACGCGATCGCGCTAATGTTTAAAGCGTCGATCCCGATTGATAGGAATACAGATACCGTGCGTTCCGCTCCGTGCGGTTTATCCGTGCGGTTATCGACCCATCGCTCCATTTTTTCGCGCGCCGCGCTCTCGCCGGACGAGAATCGTACTTTACACTCTCCGCTGATATCAGCTTGTATCGCACGATCGCAGCCAAATTTACACACGCGAAATTACTTCTCCAGGCTCGCTACTGTTTTTCGTTACGTTCGATCTTAGAAACGATCAATCTCGCGGTAGAGATAAATAAAAATATCCGAGATGGGTCAGGCGAGTTACGAGCGCGTGACATTCGCTGAGAAAAAAGTCGATTCCCCCGTCGACTGGTAATGTCGACGAAGGTCGCAAAGCAGGAATAGCACGACGGAGTTCTGTCGGAGTATTGCCGCGAGATCAACGGCGGATGAAATATTCAACGCCGCTCGTACGGTTTAGCGTAAATATCACGATTACACGTTACACTCGTTGCTTCAATCCACGCGCACTTCGCAGCCGAGCGATCATGACTTACCTGGCCAACAAATACGCCAAGGACGACTCGCTGTATCCGAAGGATCCTAAGAAACGGGCCGTGGTCGATCAGAGGTTATACTTTGACTTGGGAACTCTGTACCAGTCATTCGCCGACTATTACGTGAGTAGCTCTCTTACGTGAGCTCCCCTTCGCGCTGTTTAAGCTCACTTGAATAAATGATAAATCACGTGCAATAGAAGCTGACTCATAAAGATGGCAGCTGTGCGTGCGTGAGAAATAATAACGTGTCATTTGCAGTATCCGTACATCTTCACCGGGGTCAAGCAGGATCAAGCCAAGTACGAGAAGATCAACAACGCGCTGTCTTTCTTGGACAAGATAGTGGAGAATGAAAAGTACGCGGCCGGGAAGACTCTCACCCTCGCCGACCTCACCTTGGCCGTGACCGTTTCCAATATAAATGTGAGTAACCGATCCCCCGCGTGTCATCGACTCATCGACGAGGCGACGAGTCTGCGCGGATGGAGTCGCGAGGGGAAAATCGCGGTGGTTTTCGGCGAAGAAGTTGCCTCGTTCCCCACTTGGGCGTCAAATATTTGTATTATCGTATCTACAAATTGGTCGCGAGCTCTCGGGCTGCTCGAATTTATAACTTTTCCGTCGGTGTGCGTAACGTGGCATGATTGCGTGTTTACACGCGGCAAAAACGCTAGTTTTAAACTTCAGCTCGCCGGGAACCCACAGTTTCACCATGGAATCGCCGTTACCACTGTAAGGGAAACATTAGAGAGAACCCGGCGATTCATTGACGAAAATGTTTCTTTGCGCAGCTCATGGAGCATGATATGAGCAAGTATGGCAGCGTCTTGAAGTGGCTCGCTAGAATCGAAGCCGAGGCTCCCAAGTACAAGGAGATCCAGGGCGAGGGCTTGAAGAGTTTCAAAGAATTCGTCGACCACATGAGGAAGAAGCAGTGATCTTTAGGCACGGGTTTTACGCTCAACGCATCGGTGCTGTTTTTATATTGTACTGTTCAGTATTTTTATGCCTATAGAAATTGTAATTTTGCACAAATACACTGTATCTGTTAAACGCAAGGGCTGAAGGGGGTGTTGCTGATTCCAAGGTGTAGACTCGAAAGAAGAAAAAGAGACTCGACTGCGGCGAGTCGGGGGAACTGATTGAGAGGGAATGGAGTTCGATGCAACGAGAGATGCAGTTGCTAGCGACGGGGGATGCGCGGTTGTGCGTCTTATGACGTAAAATCTGCCGCAAAATGCGCAGGATTATAAGATTAACATTTTACGCTCCGCGTCGGTAATCGTTCCCCGTTCTCGTTACATAGTTGAGGAAACTTATGATTAAAATATCACTGGGAAATATATATCTTCCGCGAGCTTCTCACGGCGGATGAAGCCGGGAATTCTCACCTCCGTTGGTCACTTAACAACGGGGAAACTTTTAGCATAGTTTCCGCGGGCCTTCGTCCGCCTTCGTCGTCGGATACGAGAATCTTGACCTGACCTCGCGGCATCGCTTTGTCACGAACAAAAAGTTTCCGCGGCTAGTGACCGGACCAAAATCCTCTCTCCTCTCGTCTCCTCTCCTCTCCTCTCTCACCTGCCTGCCTGCCCGCCCGCCCGTCTCGTCTGCCACTTGAGATCCTGTTAACAGGTAGATTTTCGTCTTATCGATCGGCTGCGAAGTTACGTGCACGACGAGGTCCCACGAGCGACGCAAAGCCGGTTAATAATTAATACAATTATCCTGACAAAGGTTGAGCGTCTTTGTCGATGCTGATTTATCCATCTGGAGTAATCTACGGCCTGTATGCGGGACGCTCCCGAATTTTGTGGAAAATCAAATTGTCGCGGCAGGAAATTGCTGAAAGTGTAAGATAACAGTAACAATAATGCTAATGACAAGAATAAAACAACTTGAGAGAGAGAGAGAGAGAGAGAGAGAGAGAAAGCTTGTCAAGTCCAAGTCTACAAAATACCAAGAAACGGAAACTGTAACGACTTCGGCAACTTGGCATTTTTATTTCGTTTCGCCTTTCATAAGGGCGATCTTCGAGTCGAACACGATGTTAACGAGTTTTTCGAACCGTGAACTCGTTCGTTCTCGTTACGCGCGTAATTTGCCACTATGGCAGTCGACCCACCTTAGACCCGATGTTCATTTGGCTCCGCTCTTTAAATAGCGTTTAACGATAGCAATAATTACGGCGTAAGAGCCCCTACTTACATCCGTCGTATTTAGTCAGTGATCGCGGAAATACGACTGATATTATAGAAAGTAGGCTACGCATAATAAACTGATGGCCTATAAAATGTCGCCGGCCGAATGCTGCGCGTGCAGGGTGAATACCAAAAAGGAATAATCGAGGTATAAAATAGTAGGACGCGTGTCGTAAAACGCCTTTGCCGTTGATATTTCTTCTGAGAAAGAGGAAGAGCATTGCGAGTTTCGTCACATTTGATAGATATTCGTATAAAGCGTGACGCAGCCACGTTACATTTTTATTACAAGTATGTTTTGAGAAAACGTAAGAAAAATATACAGAAAGTTGCTACGGAATAATGCAATTTCGACTCTGCATTAATTCTGCAAATTCCGTGGAATTGGAAGAATTGACGCAGAATAGCGATATATAACACTACGCGTATTCTACTTTGTCTAACTCATTTACTTTATACAACAAGAAATATATTGATCCGAACAGCCGAATAATAGCGAACAAATACGAAACTGTAATTAACTGCTCTCGCAATCAAAGGCCCCAAATAATTTTCAACTGCGAATATCGATTCGCAAATGTTTGTACCCCTAATAATGCTCTTTGAATAGCGAGATACATGTGGAACTTTCTTTTATTTTTGCTTAGCCTTGCTATCGCATCGATGCCAAGTCCTTACTAATTTCTACCTATGCGTAGAATTCTACACATATTTACAACTTCTCCTTTTTTATTAATTTTGAATATTCGATTTTTATTGACTCTTTAGCTCCAATGAAAAAAAATATAATAAAGAAATGGCGAAAATAAAGTTAATTTATCTTAATTAAACATGTAGTTGATTTATCTTTATTAGCCTATATTAAATTAGTTTACCTATAATTATTCAATATTTGCTTATTGCACATATCCCCCCCCCCATCTAGTGGTTGATTCAGTCGCATAATTAATACATTGTTTATTGAAATGAGGAATAGAAATTAAATGCAGATAGAATGCTGAAATAATCGGAATTAAATGCAGATAGAATACTGAAACAATTTAAAGCTGCAACATGGAAAGGATGACAGCGAGTAACCATTTATAGCATCGAAGATGCCGATCAACTGCCGATATAGTGTTCCAGTTTCTCTCGTTGATTCTTCAAGTTTGTTGGAATTTATAAAATTAATAGAATTCGAAATAAGATCTGGACCCGGGTTCAGGTAAGTGAAAAAGAGTAGTGAACGACAGTGATCATACCACGTTGAAAGTACTAGTTCTCGTCTGATCACTGAAGTCACGCAATGTTGGGCACAGTTGGTACTTGGGCGGTTTTACCACTTGGGTTTTATACCGTGTGCTGTCGGCAAACTTTTTGTCGCTTTCCACTTCCAAAGTTCATCTTTCTGTCGTGGCTCAAGCTTCAAGGCGAAACAAAACGGCAATAAGTAATAATTTATAATAAACAAGCAATAATCTGTGTATGTGCGTGTATAATGTTAGACTGAGATTTTTCAGCTGTCCCTTAAATTCGATGGAACTTGTAAAATTAAAATATCGTGGATACATATTGGAGAGAATCCTGAGGAAACGTTTGAATTATTACGCGAAATGAATTTGAAAAAGGGGAAAGAGCTGATGGTGCTCGATGCTACCGAAGCTGCCTCAACATGAAAAGCCATTTATCCTAGATATCTACCCTGCTGTCCGCCATGAAACTCTAATAAAGGTCAGTTCTATGTATATGTCAGCTGCATTTGTACGCGTGGCAGCATATCGATTGACAGGAAGTCGTGGTTGTAAATCGTTCAGTCTTCGTGTGAAGTTGAAAGTGCACGTATATTCTTTTCCACGAGACACACAGTTCCGCGTGTCATTACTTGACATTCGTCGGAAAGAAAGCGGCAGACAGGTAACATGCTCATAGACGAATTACAAACCTCATTAATTATCTAAATCACGATACATCAGTCGATGACAAAATCGAACGATTCAAAGGGTCGAGAACATGTCCGTACAATTGTATTATTACCCTGTGAGCCCACCTTGCCGAGCTGTGTTGCTCACTGCGGAAGCTGTTGGACTCGAAGTAGAGCTAATCGAAATGAACTTAATGGCTGGTGAAGTGACACCGGAATTCCAAGAGGTATAAGAAACGCTGATAGCGCCGGTTCCCGCGCCGGTGTTATCTTCGGTATCGAATCGGTGGCTATTATTACCACGCATAAAACACACCTCGCTTTCCCGCAGTTAAATCCGCAAAAGACGATTCCCTTCATGGTGGACGACGATATCAAGCTGTCGGAAAGGTCTGCGCTATGAGCTTTGTAATAATATAGCGCGTGTTTCGAGCGCAGTATTTACTCAGCAATCACGTTTCCAGCCGAGCCATTATGACTTATTTGGTCGATCAATACGGCGAGAATGACAGTTTGTACCCACAAAATATGGAAGCGCGTGCCCTAGTCAATCAGCAATTGTATTTTGATCTCTGCACGCTTTACGCTAGCATAATGGACTATTACGTGAGTATGTAATTGATGTTTTGATACGCAAGAGAACAGCCGGGGTGTTTATTTCTTCAGACGTCGCTTGCGCCATTTTTAGAATACGCGGATATTTTAGGACGTCGTTTAGGGTATATTTAAGACATCGACATATACATTCAATTGCGAATATCGAGCGTTAAAGCTCGCGAAGAGTCGCCATCATTCGATGACGTTGGTCCGTTACGAGCGAGTTACAAGACTTTCTGCCGAGCAAAAAAGTTCTAAACAAGCAAACATCAATCGGTCTTTTTTCGAGTTTTCATCTTTATGGAATTGTCCCTCGATAAATCACGCCGCGGCTGCGATCATCGCAAGTTCCGTCGTAGATGCCTGTGTTCCGTAAACTCACCGACACGTATGATCCTGCGAAATTTGAAAAGATGACAGACGCCTTCCAAATTCTGAATACCATCCTCGAAGGACAAGATTACGTGGCTGGACCTAACTTGACGGTTGCTGATTTCTCCTTGATCGCGTCTGTGACTACAGCGGAGGTAATTCCAGCAGTGTTAATTAAAATAGCGAGTGGATCGTTAAAATTTCAAGTTACAGCGGGGTAAAACTATGTATTCTTGGATCTCGTTCTTCGGGATAATTTTACACGAAGGAAGAGCATATTGCGTTACTCTCTCGGTATATTAAAATACAAACGAGAACACTATGTTATATCGATAGAAACATTTTGTGACAATATTTTTTTTAATTTCAGTGTAAAATTATCCCCTGAAACAGATGGATTCTATGAGGATACTCGTTTCATCCGCTGTACAAATATAATACTCACATTTGAGTGTGTTGTGCCGGCAACATAAAACCTGATACTTTAAATTCACACGTATACATCTCTGTAGTAATAATAAACTGTCACGTTTGATCATTTTTTAGCAGTATTATGTTTCACATATTGTACTTTCAAGAAACTGCATTCTCCTTCGCTGGAAATATAATTAGTTTGTTACGTGCCAGGTTTTCGGATTCGAAATGGAAGAATATAAGAACGTTTCCGATTGGTTGGAAAGAATAAAAGAATCCGCACCTGGATATCAGAAGGTTAACGGTGATGCAGTCGAGGCATTTAAGCAATTTCTAGAAAGCTCACTGGAGAAAACTAATGAAGAGGAAGAAAAAGAAGAAGGAGAGGAAGAAAAGGAAGAAGAGGAAGGAGAAAACGAAGATGCAGGAGAAGAAGAAAAGGAAGAAGAGGAAGGAGAAAAAGAAGAAGCAGGAGAAGAAGAAAAGGAAGAGGAGGAAGGGGAAAAAGAAGAAGAAGGGGAAGAAGAAAAGGACGAAGAAGCAGAAGAGGAAAAAGAAGAAGAAGGAGAAGAAGAAAAGGAAGAGGGAGGAGAAGAAGATTAAAATAAGCATTTTTATAAAAAGAAAAAAAAATTGTTTCAATATTCAAATATTCGAGTGTGTGTCACAAATAAAAATGATTGCTTTGTCCCTTCGCATGTGGTCTTGCCGAAAATCCATGATACACAGAATTCTAATTAATTAATTCCGGAATCGTTCTTATTTCCCGAGAATTGTACATTTATTATTTTATTCGTAATGCCGAGCTAATCGCACATAAAGCGAGAAAATACAACATTATCGCAGTCAATCGTGCGTCAATTAGTTTATGTAAAAATCACACGCGGTGGGAGACTTATCTTGCTTGTCGTAATACTTTTATTTTTATTTTCACACGCAATTTCCGCACGTAATTGCTCATAAAATCGTTTGCCATTTAAAAATATGGAATTGCGTGCCGACTGACGGCAACGCGAGCTCCGTATTACTCTGCTCGCAGTACTTGGGATCGTACGAACGTCTTATTTATCGTCCGTCGGTTAATAATCCACCGAGAAACTTCATTCTCTCATAACATTGTTTTATCTACAGCGGAGACGTAACTTCCAATTCAAGATATGGTCGCACGCAAGAATATTATTACATCTTATATCTATGAAAATTACTTTGAAAAATACACGTAACTTGTGAGTGGATTTCGCAGCGGAGGTACTTTCGCCCACAATAAATTGCTGTAATAAAGCGAGGTAAAAATATCCAGTTTGATGATTGCGCACTTACCGATGGGAGAATAATTTCTGGCGATGAATTGCAGGTGCTCGTTCTTGAGTGAAATATTTACAAACGGGCATACACATCACTAAACCAGTCTCGCGGCGAATGTACTCGGGAGAAACGTGTCTTCATTCGACGCTAAGGGATCTTCTCTATAGGTCTATATTTTAAAGCTATATTCCTTCCTCGCTCATTTGTCGTAGTAGAGTAAAGTATGACATCGCAGTGCTCAATATCTGCAAGCATGAGTGATACGTATTATATTTCGCATTTTGTAGAAGAAACGATTAATTATTTATTCATTAAGACGTTGGATATCCTTAAGAGGAGATGCAAATGGACGTTTATCTTTAGGAACTACCGCATTCCAACACAGTCTCGCCGCCTCTTCGTTCTTCACCTACGATGTTGCGATTGAAAAAATTTCGCCGCTGAAATAGAGCGAGAGAAAGAGAGAGAGAGAGAGAGAGAGAGAGAGAGAGAGAAGCTGCTGTCTGACATATTCGCATTGATGTGTTTTACGAGCGGTCGAAAGGATTAAAGCGCGACTCGTGCAACATTCGCTTGAGAGAGCCGGTGACGAACGGCCGGGACTTCTTAAAAGTTGCACCAAACGAACTTTTTCCGTCCGGGCAAGTTTCAAGCGAAGCCATTCGTCGCGTCGTGCGCTTACCCCCGTGAAAGTGTCCAAGGACATCACCGCGAAATGTCCGGCGGTTAATGTGCACGGTCGACGTGCTCTGATCATGATCATAATTAATCCTTTCCTCAGCGCCATCCCCGGGCCGCTGCCGGGTAAGAGATACCACTTGGAGTTGTAAGCGGCGTCGGAGATGGCCGCGCTTTGCACAATTATATCGTTACACGTCCACGTGTAAATAAGTAGCTGGATAAGACCGCCCACAAAGTGGAAGGCGAAAATGCACTTCCTGATGGCCACGTCCGTCGCCTGCGGACAAACGAGGCGTGTGAGCACCGCGAAATAACGCGACCCCCACTCGCTTTCGGCGAAAACAACGCGCGAGTCTTTTCATCTTCCGCGACTGCAAAGTGGCCGAATCGCGCGCGACTCGCTGTGTAAATGAGGAGACGCGCTGCTGCATCGCAGGGTGATTTACATCGAATCGTTTATACGAGATAATTTAGAGGGGGGATTTGTACAAGAGATAATCTAGTATCCAGGCGAACCTCGGATGTCAAATATTCGTGTTCATATCTCGTGTTTGTCAGAAAATTTCCCGCCGCAGCGACCGTATAAACGTGTGATTTTTCTGTATAATCAACGGAGAAGCTTCACGGGGGAATTTTGTGCGGGGTGTGGGTTGGGTAACAATGGTGCGACCATCGCGATAAGCAGATTTCTCATGCGAATGGGAAATGCGAAAACGCGAAACAGCGAGCGATTTTCAAGCGGGACTCTGTTGCGGATGAAATTAACCCCGGAAATTGGCAGGTTAATGACATCTTCGCGTAATATTTCGAGCCCCGGTGATTTTCAACGATCTTGCGTTACACGCCGTCGAGCTCATTTCGGGGAAATATAGGATTGATGAGCTTACGAGAAACTGGAAGCCGCCGAAGCAGATAACCACGCTGGAGAGCAGCAATTGGCCGAGCAATATAATGGCGAAGACATGTTGCATGTTATGCAGGTACTGTATAAGCGTGTAATGCTGCCGCACACAATCCTGCAAGTAGCGAACAGCGTTTGAAAGTAGAAGAGATTCTCCGAGGAAAGGTCCCACTCGGGCGTTTTCGCGCAAGATCGGTAATTTCTCACGTCACGCGCGCGTAATACGAGTAATACTCGTACAGGTAATAATAATTCCCGGTGATAGTAACGAGATGAAAAAAAATGACTGGCGAGAACCAAAGCGAACTTTCTCACCGACCGCAATAATCCGCTAATGCGCGAAGATCCCGACTAGAAATTTTGATCAGGTTCACCTAACATTGATAAGGATTTAATAGGGTGAATGAAAGATAATCCTGAATAAGTCAGTCCCTATAATGTCCTAACGACAAATGAGCAAGAAAGACCTTTATAAGGTTATAATGATTGGGTCCACATTAGGACCTTAATGTACCAACTTAGTGTATCATATAATATGGTTCAGTTGATCAGGTCGTTGTCGGGATCTTATTCATTGTACCTAATATGATTTATATTATTAAGTTTTAACAAAACAATTTTTGGGTGTCATTTCCAAATATAAAGATATTTGCATTGAAAAAGCACTTCAGATCACTTGAACATATTTGTAAAATGCTATAGAAATTATCCTTTTTTAGCAGTCAATAAATAGTTGTAAAATTAACAAGACATGCAACTTTTCTCTTTAACACTACTTTGTGTCTTGTCACCTTGTGATACTTTATGATCTTGTGATATTCATTTTATGTCTCTTTTCCGAAACATTTCACAAGTATGCTCAAGCGATCTAAAATATTATTTCATGTAAATATCTTTTTATTTGGAAATGACATGAAAGAATTCTCAGCGTGTCATTTCTTATTTCTAATGTCATCATCCAATATAACCGTGGCGAGTAATCAGGAGCCATAATTTGAAAAAAAAACGTAATAAGGATTCCATAAAGTAACTCAATAAGGACCTGACTATGAATCCTTACTAAGATCCTGATATGCACGCTGCGTTACATGACTTACTAGGACCCGATAGTATTACCTTATTGGGACCTGATGTCCAAATGAGGTTAACCTGATCAGGACTATGGGGTAAATTTCTAGCCGGGATTCTAATCGCTGGAAGTGTTATTAGATGTCTCCCTCTCGAGCCTCTCCGATTACCTGCAATCTCTCGAACGTCAAAGCGACAATTTCCGCTTCCGACTGGCTGCTCTTGTCGCTCGTTGCGCCTTCGACGCAACTCTCGGCGACAATCTCCACCTTGTGAGCCAGGATCTTCAGCTGCGCGGCGGCGTGGATGTTGAAGGTGCTGACGAAATTATCAAAGCAGAAGGTGCAGATACCCGAGTGTATCGTCGAGAGTGACTGCGGCAATAATGTGATCGATGTCGCTTAAATTTTATTTCATAGCCGGACCACACGCTCTCGCTGGAGCGTGCTCGGGACGCTGCACTCTCTCTCTCTCTCTCTCTCTCTCTCTCTCTCTCTCTCTCTCTCTCTCTCTCTCTCTCTCTCTCTCTCTCTCTCTCGCCTCACCTGTATCGTGTAAGTGACTTCGTAGTACGGCGAGTGATATGGAAATTCGAGCCACAGCTTGAACGGCAGTGCCTTCTGCGTCTCGTTGGTCGCACGAGGCTCTACACAAAGACACAGAGAAACGAGACAACCTGTTTCAATGGCGCGATGCATCGCGAGTCTCACACGGTGAACGTGCGGCAATAACCGAATAGCAAAGGCAAAGCGAGAGCGAGAACTGTACCGAAGAAAGGCGCGAAGATATAATTGAAGGTCGCGACGTAGACGATGAGCGTAAAGGTGTAAGTCATAGTCATCCCTAGCTTGTCGTATTCCTCCAGAATTCGAGTACCAACCTCGTCGTAGGTGACCGCCCAGAAATGCTTTTCGGCGAAACGAATGAGCTTCATCACGTTGTCGTGGTAGAGCATGAAGCTGCCCAGCTTCACCAGTATCATCACCAACAGCAACGTCGCGCACAGGTTGGACGTGACGGCCTGGCGAGAGACGAAACACTATAGGCTGCGTAACAACAATGTGACGCGTCCATCGGGCGACCCATCGGGATTCGTCCGCCCGCCGAGGAGTCGCGCCGCGAGGACGACGCGCGGCACGGCATGTCACTCACGTAAAAGTCGCCCATGCAGTGATACAGATCGACGCCCTCCACGAGAATGGCGAAGAGAATCGCCCAGACGGCGTAGCCGAACGCGACGCGCAGGAACAGCCGTTCCCGCGGGGTCTCGACGTGCCAGAGGCCGACCATTTTCATGAAGAGTCGCGTGATACTCACCGACCGGTACTCCCTGTTCCCCGTCATCGTGCACCTCGTGATTTTCTTCCTGCCCGGCGCGCGCGGATCTAAGTGCCGGATCCGAGCGTCGGCTCGACTATCTCGACGTAAGTGGAGGCCCATTACGTTAACCGGCGGGAAAATTGGTGCGCGCACTTACCCCGGCTCTCGTCTACCGGTGACAGCCTGCAATCACACGTGTCTCGTCGGAGCCGGGGCGATCAATCGTTGCTGGTGTGCATTAACTTCGATCTTTGGCGAACAATGCGCCCGGCTTTCTCTCTCCCTCCCTCCCTCCCTCTCTCTCTCTCTCTCTCTCTCTCTCTCTCTCTCTCTCTCGCAGCTCCTTTGCCGCAGCGGCGTCACTCAGTGGTCTGACTGCGCGCTATCGAGCGTCGTCATTAATTGGACGTCTAGCCGCGACATGCGAGAACGTGTGTGTGACGAAGCGGTTATATATTCGACAGTGATAAATACGGTAAAGTCTCTCGCGGTCAACCGATTGAGACGGAGCGAGGCGGGCAGTCGTGCGTGTCGCTGGCAGATAATTCGGCGTGTAAATTAAGCGACGCGTGTGTCCCGACCCCCCAGCTCACGGCTACCTCTCCAGCGGAGAAAGGAATTGTAGCGAAACGGCCGGGCAAAGGCAAGAGTAAATTGTATCAACAGTTACAAAGAGAGCAGAGACGAATGAACAGGGTGTCCGGGCAGGGTCGGTGAGGACTTGGAACGCGATCGTTGACGAGCTGTGAAGGAGCTGGAAGGTAAGTGGAAACGCTCGCTGAGCAGGTAAGCTGTCCGTCACGAACGTTTCGGGCTTCGCCTAATTGGGTAATTGATATATTTGGAATATTCCAGTTTGCCGATTTATTAAAATTATCGCGCGATAGGCCGGTCTTCTTAGCCAGTGACTAGGTAGACAATGAGTAAAAATAGTATCCGCACATACTCCCCTTCCCGTCCAAATGTAAATATTCCGACGTCCCGAAGCTTCCTCGACGGATCTCTCGAAGAGCACCTCGGCATCTCCTACTCGTCGACGATAAAATTGCGGAGCAGAGCGAAATACGAGGCCGCGGTGCTCATCACCTGTGGGGGGACAAAGTCCGAGTCGTTGAGACAAGAATCCCGAGTCTGTGGATCTTTCAAAGCCGACCTTACCGCCATGAACGTCTCGAGGGAGACCGGGAAGAAGCCACCGGCGGATATGGAGCAGGCGTGCGTGGATCGCACCATCAACATGAGAACGGCGTTCCGGATTGATCTGTTATCCTGGTGAGACAGGACCTCCCAGTTGGCACTGTAGGCCGAATCGCCGACCGCGCGGCTTTCCTCCAGCAAGTGATGCGCCGTGAACGTGACGACGAACAGTTGGCCGACGCTGCCGTTCGTATGCGCGATGAATATCATCCGCCTCATCAGGGTGCCGCGAGACTTGATCAACAGAAAAGTGCGAGCGAGACCTTTACGCGAGACGCACCTTCTCTCCCTCGTCGCCTATTCAATCAACTCGCACTTGTAGCGACTTTTTGCGTTTTATCAGTGAGAAAGAGAAGCTGAGAGAACGCCTCGCCGGCGCGGTATCCAGCGCTGCCAAGCGCGATCACCCCGAGTTCGAGTTGCCCAACAGGGTCGCTTAGCTTGAGCGATCGAAAGCTTTTCTAATGGCACCGCTTGTGCATTCGTATTCTCTTTCTCTCTCTCTCTCTCTCTCTATTCCTTTCTTTTTCAGGTGCAGGTACGCGCGTACTCACCAAAAATACTTGGAAGCCTGCTACGCATATCATGACGCTGGACACCAACAGCTGGCAGAGGGTCGTGTACATGAATAAGCCTTCCATCTTCTCGCTGTACCAGATCAGCTCTTGATGCTGCAACACGCAACCCCGGATTTCTTCATGCACCGCTCGCTTGGTCTTCTCGTCGAGCGAGCCCAAGTCACCGGCCTGCCCGATCCTCTCCAATATAGTCTCCAAGCGATGCTGCAGCAATTTAAACTGGCCGGCAGTGTGCATGCCCAGCAGACCCAAGAGATTGTCGAAGCAACAGAAGCATATACCCGCATGAACGAGTGCTATAATCTATAAAATTATACGTTTCATAGGCGAGCGTTTATTCGACGCGTTAAAAAAGTACGGACGAATGACGCTGATACGCAACTAAACTCGCACGACAATCTCTTAACCGTTTCACTGTTAGTGGGAAGTATACTTCCTACCTTTTCTTGATCTTGATCGAATTTTGCGTTGTAAATCACATAATTTTGAAGAACTAATCGGGGATTTGAGATTTCCAAATAATTGAATAGTTGTTCAACATACTCCAATAGGTTTTTATACCCAATTATTCATTTGTGATTATTTATAACAAATCAAAGTTGAAAAAGAATGCTTTTTTTTAGGGAAAAATCGATTCCTCGGAGAGTATTGAATGTAGAGGTCTGAAATTTGCACCTGAATATTTTTCTGATGTACAAAAACAGATATTTTTTTCAGTATTTTTTTGCAGGTTAGACATTCTTTTATAAACAAATATTTCTACGAAAACAGCCGAAATTTGATGAAGATTCATGAAATCCGAGTGAAGAGTGCACATCGTGAACTGAACACAACACTGCGGAGAACACAATGCATTACCTCGAAAACGAATATTATTTCAAAGTTGGGCGAGACGTGCGTGTCGATCCCGACATACCAGTTAAAAGGGAGAATTCTCTCGCTTTCGTTTCTCCCCCTATTCTCTACAAAAATGTTCTTCTATAAAAAAATGTAGCCGTGATGTATGCAGAAGGTGCGATGCGACGTCCGTCCGACGTGTGGCAGCGACAGAGTCGGGCATCGCTCGAGTAATTCGTAATGAGAGATTCTCCGCCGAGCTCTCAGCAAATTTCAAATACCGGGTAGCCAAGAAATTTCGTGCCGTTTCAATCAACAGAGATAAAACACTATAGAATCCTCTCTGTTAAGTAAGCTTTTGTTCAAGCATACGCAACCGCACTTTTAATTGATATAACGTGCACGTGACAATGGCAAAACGGCGCGAAGTTTCTTGATTACCTAACGTCATGATCAATGGGTACCGATTATGGGAGTCAGCATGTAGGTGACGACTGTCACTTGAACGAAGAACGTGAAGGTGCACATTATTATCATCCCTTTCCTGTTGATGTCGTCCATGAGCTTGCGGCCGTAATCGTCGTACTGCGCGTACCAGAACCTCTCCTGCGTGTACCTGAGCATCGTCAGCATCTCCTCGCGATAGGTCAGGAAGAAAAGGATCTTCATCAAAACTATAACTACCGGCATGCTGCTGCAAGCGGTGTACGTGACGGCCTTAAACGATCAACGACGCGTCGTTAGGGATATATCCGCGGAAGCCTTCGCCACCGCGCTTCGAAAGAGCTCACGTAGAAGTCACCGATGCTGAAGTAGAACTCGGTGCTCTCGATCCACAGCGCCAGGACGATCGCGAACAGCGTGTAGCCGAGAATCCCCTTCAACAGGCGTTCCTCGCCTTTCTTGTCGGACGTCCAGAAACCGACGGTCTTCATGAGGAACCTCGCCATTTGCATCGACGCGTAGTCGTGCTCCTTCCTCTCGGCCGCCATCGCGCCCTCGACGTCGACCTTCGCCGTTACGCCGTGTATTAACGAGATTCGCGGTATCGCGCGTTTGCGCCAATGATAGATACGCGGCGCGGGTCGTAATAACAGACGTCCCGCGCAGCGATCGTGGCGCGGTCCTTGATCGAGTTACTTCGTCCCTCTGTTACTTCAACCTATTATCACGTCGATCGTAAGAGGTATACCGCGTTATTACAAGGCACACACCCTTCGCTCTTTCTCACGGATAATGTATGCGGTGTCAATGCACTCGCGAGTACTCCCCGTTCTTCAGGAACTTCCCCCGAGCGCTCGAATACGCTCGGCTCGGCTCGGCGGGGTTTCACGGAAGCGCCTCACATTATTGCAGGACGTCGGCGGTCTCCGCTCTTTCGTCACATGTGTTACGCTCGCGGGGTTCTCAGGCGGCTTTTCCGAAGGAATCAAGACCGGGGGAAGAGGGGCTGAAGAACACGCGACACGCTCGGGAAAATCGCGAGCGACTTGACAGCCGACTTTAGCTACTTGAGCGACGTTTCAGCATCGTACATTCCGGTCGTCTGATCCATCCGTGTAAACGTGTGTGTGTCTGCTGAAAACTATGAGAGCTAATTACGACCCGAGACTTCTCTCTCTCTCTCTCTCTCTCTCTCTCTCTCTCTCTCTCTCTCTCTCTCTCTCCCTCCTCGAGCGCCGGAGAGAAAAATTCATGGCCGTTGGTCGCTTCGCAGCGATGTTGAGGAAAAAGTTATACGGGCGATACGAAGGGTGTCTAAATTGCTTGGAAGTCTCTCACCTCGCAGTGCATTGGCGACTTTTGAGGTAAGAAATGGTAACTCATTAGAGGAAATCCATTTACGTGTCGAAGCGTGAGTTCTAAAGTTGATTTTGCAGCGTGCGGCGACTCTCCTCCGGCGCGTCGTGGCGGCCAAAGAGGATTCCCGCTCGAAATATGATTCGTGCAAACTATGTTTCACGCGCGCTCAAGAATTCTGATTCTTATTTCCCGGGCATGCAATTTTCGGTCCATTTTACTGATACTACGGTATCAAGCACGCGCGCGCGCAGCGGAGGAGAAACGGTATTTATTTCGGCGTTTATTGCGAGCAAAAGAAATTTACACGACTTTCGCGCCTCGCCGACGTCGCAATGCTCACTATGGCCGCAATAAGGGAGCGGGGAAGTTTAATTAAGAGGGCCGCGCGATGTTCAGGCTTAACGAATCGTTTAGCGGCCACGACACACACACACACACACACACACACACACATAGAGCATACGGTAGAGGTATTTTATTGTATTATATTTTCAATATCTTTTTTGAGAAAATACGTATACTTATACTCGCAACTCGGTACACTTCAGCTACGTGGGGACGCGCGATTCGGCGTCACCACGGCCGTCCGCTGCGAAGATACGTCGAGCGTGTGAGGAATAAAGTTTTATTGCTACTTCGAACAAGTGGACAAGGGAAAACGCGGTGCGCGCCCGCAGCGCTGGCCGCGAGGTAACGCCGAATCGATGGCTCTTCACGTTGTTTTTCACATACGGTCTATGTATAATATGTATATGTATACTCAAAACATACAACAAACGAGGACTATCTCTTACTCGTGGTACTTACGTATTCGGCTTAACGTTACGTTATTAATCTTTTTCTTCTTCTTCTTCTTCCTCCTCCGTTTTTTTCTTCTTTTCATTTATTTATCTTCGTCGGTGTGAGTAAAGGGGAGCGGGGAGGCATTCGACATCGGTAATATCTTCGATTGGTACATTACATACATTTACATTCTCCGGTACGACGCTAAACACTTATCGACTTCGTTTGCAATCGTTTTCCTTACCTAGTATGTTTCTATTATTTCATTGTTATACAGATAACGCTGCTTATCCATATAACGCATAACCGTGAAAGCAAAGTAACGAGAACCGAAGGATGGACGTGTGTGTGTGTGTTTTCGATGTTTTGCGCAGCTAAAAAGATTTAATATCTCAGGATGTTCCATCGTACCAAAAGCGAAAGAAAAAAAAAGGGTGATAGGGAGGGGAATAAAAAGGGGGGAGAGGGGGAGAAGGAAAAGCTTCGATCGAATCGATGTTTGATGCTTCGGCAACGTGTGAAACGAAAATGTTAATCTGCAGCAGTGACGGCGAGTGTGTACGTGCATGAATCTGTGCAAATTTTCGGAAGCGGTGTCGTCTCTCTCTCTCTCTCTCTCTCTCTCTCTCTCTCTCTGCAGCGTGGCGTTACGTCATTAAGGGGACTGGAGGGTCAGATTGCTGAAAAATTATGCTTGTTTTTGATAATATTTTGTGACGAACTGAATAAATGTGCAAGAATGAAAATTTTTGGTATAGTTATACAACATATGAAGAGTAGAAAAATTTCGTTTATTAACAAATACTCGTATAAATATACGATATATATAGCTGAAATATACTCTTCTTTTTTTTTCAAGTTCTCGTTTTTGCAGTAATATCTCGGCTCTCGGTGGTCCGATCAGAGCGAATTTTAGCTAGAAATCTTGAGGAGGCTTATCATTATCCGGTGAACCACTAGAAAAAAAATCGAATAAAATAAACAAAATGACAGCTATTATTAGGAAAAAATGCAAATTTTTCAATTCTTTTACAAAAAAATATTATCTCGAAATGAAATATTTTGACGGAGTTGTCCGTGGTTCACCTGAGAGCCACATGAACAAATATTTTTGCTTTAAAATTTCAAATCGATACGAAGCTCAGTTTCGGAGAAATCACTGCAAAACGTTGAACAATAAAATTTCGAGAAAAACGCGTTTAAAATTTAAGTGGACATATATTTATATGAGTATTTGTTTAAGAACAAAATGTTTCTACTCTTTATATATTATATAAATATATGTAAAATTTTCATTCTTGCACATTTATTCAGTTCGTCACAAAATCATGATCAAAAACAAGCACGATTTTTCAGTAATCTGACCAGTCCCCTTAAGTCGATGCGAACGGTTCGTTGTTCTTCTATTGAGTCTATTTCAAGAGAACTGAGCAAATCAAATTCTCGTTCCTCTTTTTCCGAGAAAGAAAAAAAAATCGAGGAGCTTCCCTCCATGTGGAGAGAAAGCATCGAACGACCGCGAGAAAAAAAGATCGATCTTATTTGCATTTGACAAAAACGCTAAACCGTATCAGATACGCATTTCGCAGCGACTTAATAATTCGCAGACGTGAGAAAGAGAGAAAGAGAAAGGGTGAGAGGGAAAGAGGGGGGGGGAGAGAGAGAGAGAGAGAGAGAGAGAGAGAGAGAGAGAGAGAGAGAGAGCCGCGTGAGAGATATTGTGGTGCTTTTATACAGGGTGGCCCATGTAAAGCGTTACAAATCCATAACTTTAAAAATATTTATCAAATCAAAAAATTGTTCATAAGGAAGTTTCCTGTATTCGAGAGACCTCTCTAACTACATAAACGTAAAGTCGCCCCCGCTTCCCCTTTAAGGGGGGACGGGGGTAACTGCATAATTTTATTTTATTATTAGCGATTTCATTCATGATTGACATAAAGTTGCGTTCGTGATACAACAAAAACAAAAAAGACCTTAGAGTACATACTTGATATTAACCAAAAGAAACATAAATAAACACATTTATCGGGAAACGTAAATACAGATCATAGACCCGTTCCCTGATAAATATGTTTCTTTTGGTTAACATCAAATATGTACTTTAAGATCTTTTCTGCTTTTGTTGTATCGCGCACGCAACTTTGTGTCAATGGAGTTGAATCGTGAATGAAATCGCTAAAGGTTTAAATGCTTATAACTTTTGCTAGAAGCATTTTCCAAACAAATGTTTCAGATAAAATTTACTTGTTTTTTCCCGTAAAATCCAAATATGCAACATTTTATAGGGGATTCCATTTAAAATCATCAAGTTACCCCCTTAAAGGAGAAGCGGGGATGACTTTACGTTTATGTAGTTAGAGAGACCTCTCGAATACATTCGACTTTCTTATGAACAATTTTTTAATTTGATAAATATTTTTAAAGTTATGGACTTGTAACACTTTACGTGGGCCACCCTGTACATGCCGGGGGCGCAAAAAAGGTACGCGTGTTACGTATGTATAAAACCGTCTTCATCTCGCAGCTACGAGCTAACAGACGTGCACTTCCGATATATCTCGACGTGAAAATCTCGTCTACGCTCAGCAACAGGCTCGGCCAGTGTACCGCCAAACAAACAAACACGCACGCACGGCTATCACACACGCACGCAATCATCTCGCTAATAACGCGCTCGTAATTACGTTCTATTAATTAAACGCCTAACTCGCAAGCGGCGCATATTACGATGTAAGAATAATAACCGGGGAGTGTGTATCCTGCGCACGATTATAAAAATTGTATAACGGAACGCGCCGCGCGCGCCGCACTTGCGCGCGCCTATTGCGAGAAAACCGTGCTTCGCGCATTATATCGCGCCTTCACTCGCGTATCTCACGCGCTTATCAGAAAAATCAGGCTTACGACGACGGATTAACCTTTAAGCGTCGGCTTCGGATCCCCGTGTGTGGATCGCGGACACTCGGATATATTAATTCCTCGCGGGAATTAATTTTAGACGGTATCTTCGCTCGCCTCGATGCGTCTCGTAAACTATTCACGACACGTCGATCAGCACGCTTCGTATAAAAGATTTCTGATAAAAGTAATGGAACTCCTCGACAGTCAGGGACGGGCGCGCCGATCGAAAGAGGTTTCGCGTCGACGGAGTGTATTCGTCATTCGAATACTCTCCGTGACGTGTCCCGCCCTTCTCCGCTAGTAGTATCTTGGAAAAAAGAAATACATGTACATACATGTACGTTTCTCTCTCATCGAAGCGATGTCCTACCTTCGAATTATCGCCACTGCAGTCCGCTATCGCAGTCCTTTCACCGTGAATCATTTGCGTGAAATGTTTTCCGATATCTCGCGGACGGAGAGGAAAGTGAGAGAGAGAGAGAGAGAGAGGGAGAGAGAGAGAGAGAGAGAGAGAGAGAGAGAGAGAGAGAGAGAGAGAGAGAGAGGGAGAAGGAGAGAGAGAGAGAGAGAGAGAGAGAGAGAGAGAGAGAGAGAGAGAGAGGGAGAAGGAGAGAGAGAGGGAGTGAGAGAGAGAGAGAGAGAGAGAGAGAGAGAGAGAGAGGGAGGAGCCAACGGGACACATCGAGAGAAGTTACCCTCTCTAGCTTACCTCGCTACACAACTTTTGGCCACAACTGAAAATCGCTCTGATCTCTCTCGTCACTTATAAAATTTCTTCGTAATATATATGTACACACACATACGCGGGATATAAGGCGTGGACCATTCGAATAATTGAATGTTACTCTTCAAATCGCGGAAAGTATCCATATTCACGCTGAACGCTCGAGTAATGCAAGGCGATTAACGACGCATTTCAAATAGTGTATTGCGAGACAAGTGGATATGTAAAAAAGATTAGATCTCGAGACCTACAAGTCTAAAATTAAAGTTTTACAAAAGGGGCCTCTACGCGCGTTCTTAGGAAAAAGTTTTTTTCTTCTTTTTTTCTTTGCTTTTCTCCCCCTCAGAGATTTTTATCCTAATCCAAAGTATTCAATTGTAGCGGATATTCAGATACTTGAGCGACGCTAATAATATACAAATGTTTAAATCGTACTCGATGACGCTGACCGGAGTTATTGTGCTCTTTGAAGATTCGATTATGCAAAAGTCGCCGTTCGATTCCAGGCCTGATGCAAAGTTCCGCCAACTGTCATCCCCACGAAAGAAACTTTCGAAGAGCCGGACGTTTTGCTACTTATTATTTCCATACAAAAACTGTGTGTTGGTAAAAATTGAAGAAAATATATGTATAGAATAGCGTTTCCTCTATCGGATAACCTATCCTATCGGTGTTGTCTAAAAAAGCCGATCTTGAGCCCTTAAAACCCTTAAGATTATCGCCGTCACCTAGGCGACTAGGGTATCTCAGAAGTTCCAAAGCTGGAACTTTCATGTGGATGACAGTCCAAAGTCTGAATTTTATATCATATCGTATCACATGCAGACCCGCTTTAGACGATCTCCGGATCCTCTGCCTCTGCAATTCCGCGCGTTGTGCAACGCGGAAGACGCTCGATCAGCAATTAGCGTTGCGCTCGCGATTCGGGCAGAGCCGCGCGCGCGCGCGAGCCGTTGTTTCTTTCCGGGACGAGAGTGAATCGCGCCGGGCGTCTACGAATCTCCGGCTTTTCTGTGCTTCTTTTGCGTTACATGCGCGCAGCGCATCGTCATGAATGTCGTATAAATCGTCTGAAACGGGTATCAGCGACGGGTATCTCTTCGTACAGTAAGCGTCCACGACGTTTAAAGATTAATCGGTGAGCAACCGCGGTGAGGAATCTCAGCGTAAATATTCGAGGAGAGTGCGTAACATATATACTTCCTTCTATACGACAAAATATATTTAACACACGCACACGCACGCACGCACACACGCACGCACGCACGCAGGCAGGCAGGCACACACACGCACACATACGCGCGCGGCAGTTACGTGTCCCAAAGGATGAAATGCTCACAACGAAAAACGTCGGGCTCGCTATTATTACTCTCGATACGCTCGCCGAGATACGCTTCGATTTCGAGCGCTCAATTGTCGGATATCGTGGCTGTGAACGTGAAAGTGGTCGTAGTATATGTGGTGTAGTGTGGAAACCGATTGCCAAGTAGAAACATCGTTATGATTTAAGCTCGCAGTATCTTGTAACGCAGTTTTACGAGTTCGACAAAACTCTCTGACAGACGCCAGCGATATTTCTCCCGACTTACGTGTCTCTCACATGCGAATATTCGAGGATTACTCGATATTAAATTCGTCATCGTGTGGAAGCATAATCTTTAACAACGAGGACTCGCCCTTTTATCGCGGTGGACGCGAGATCACGGCTCTCCGAGCGCCGTATTTATTACGTGATAACAACGTGATAAGATCCGCTACGTGTACCGGCGACAAAACACGAACGAGCACAAATCGCGGCCGTGGGGGGATTCTCGTGTGATCGCATCACGACTCGAGCAGAGATGACATTTCCGACACGTGTGTGCATTCGGATCAAATGTATCAAATATTCCAATGTAAAGTTATACAACGCATCATTTGTTACTTTATTCAGATATTCACGGATAGTTTGTACGTCGGGTCAATCAGAAACATGTGACGAATTCAACAAATGTACGAACACAGCGGCGTGAATTCCAAGATGACTGCAGCGGATACAAGTGAGAATTCAACTCGGAAATGCTCCAAGTACTCGTTCTACTTGACCGTTTCCCTCGTCTCGATTCGAGTGTCTCGAATCTCAACATCGAACGTTTCAGCATCTCTCGAACATACAATCGAATACACAAGGATCACCGCGAACGTTTCTCACGCTCTTATTCGACGTGCTTATTTCGGCCCTTCGCACTTATCTAATTTACAAACGCAACGAACTCGGCTCTAAAAGCTGTTACATAGTTAACGACAAGACGCCTATCAGCTCTCAGTTAGCGGCGACTTGTTCTCGGATTGTCACGAGACGCAGCCCCGAGAGAAGTCAGTCGCGAGGACACGCTCGTCATTGAACAGTCTCGCGCAGCGTAATTCTCTAAACTAAAGCCCCTAAAAGTTACAAAAGCCCGCTAAGATCTGTGCGTACAAAATGTACACCGCGACGGCAAGATCGATAACGGCAAGTAGCCCATTAACGATCCGCAATATAATGGAGATCCTCGATGGGGGACGAGATGATATATGCATGTGTGTACGCGTGTCTGTGTGTGTATATGCAATAACAATGTGTAGCGGTAGTAGATATATAGATGTATAATATGTACATATACAGACACACAGCGGGTAGACTTGCGCTTATCTTTTTTATGTATGTATATGTGTACGTTACGTACATGTGTTGCGATATTCACGCTCGATCACTGCTTACGCTTACGCGATCTCGGCATTCCGCGAATGCGCAAGTATACACACACACACACACAGAGTTGCAGCTCGCGATTGTAGCCGGGAATCGAGATCGATATAATTCCGGTGCGTTCAATTGCCGATCGCTGCAGGCACTCGCAGTGGACTCGTTAATCTCACGCTAACTGTCGTGGAAATAAACGCGGAAATGGAAATGATCTCGTGCGCCCCACGACGTCCCTCGAAATTTCAATCCGACAAATCGCATCGGTTTCTCGAGCCCCGCCCGAGCGCGAGCATCTCGAAGAGAGAACACAAATTCCTTTGAAATGAGGCGTCAAGAAGGTACAACGACTCCCGAGAGAGAGAGAGAGAGAGAGAGAGAGAGAGAGAGAGAGAGAGAGACTTGAAGGAAGAAAGCTCAGATCTGAGAAAAAGTTCCGTTCGCGAACAAGAGAATTATTACACGTGAGCGACGATGCGTGTCTCTCACCTCGAGAATCGGAGAAAATTTAATCGGACGACTTCTTACATTCTCATTCGAAGAAAAATTTACTCGAGTAACGCCTGGCTCTCTCCTCCGCTCGTCAGTCCGTCATTTTTTACCTCGCCACCTTAGTATCATCGTCATCATCATCATCATCATCACCATCACACCTAATCACCACCGCGAGGGTGACCGTGTCGCGCCACGGATAGATATGATAATCGGGATCTAACCCCGGCCGCCTTATAATAATTCATACGTCTTCGTTACACCTACGCTTACGACTCTCGCCTCTCGCCTCTCTCATATAAAAACCTTACGAAAATAATTGCTCTATCGTAAAACCCGACATTTCGCTCGCGGCATTACGACGCTACCGCCATACTTTTTACAGCTATAAAGATTCAAAGTAATCCCGCTCTTTACCGGCGGGGACAAAACCGCACCACCTGTTCTAAACCTCTAAAGCCGATTCATCGGTCCTTAAAATGTAACGGGTGGCTGATACAACTGCTCGATATACCGCTATTGCGTTACGACGACGCGCGCGGAAATCGCGCGGGCACGTGGTCCCGTCGGACCACGTGCGTCAATGGACAAAATGCGCTCTTGCTTTGTCGCCGAAAGAACGGCGACCGGTCGCGATAAACGTCGCGGCTTCTCAGAAAATTATCGCGAATACCGTACATCCATCCGGGCAAATTTCACTCCGCGCGACGGACAATCGCACCCGAGAAGATCCCGCGATCCCGCGAGAAACGAGCGCGTTATCGAACTCCCTCTCAATGACTTGCGGGTAAAGCGAGGCTGCAAGAGGCGTCTGAGAAACGTCTGGAGAACGTCCGCTCTGACCCGAATGAGCCCCGAACGCACTGATGTCTAGCCCCCTTCCCTCCCCTAAATGTACGAGAGCTGCGTTCAAAGTGAAACGATTAAGGAAACGACGATTGTGCAGCTTGAGTGTGATTTAATAAATTTTACATCAACTTCTTTATTATATATTTTCAACAGCACGGCGTTGCGCTCGAGCTTCAATTACGAGTTACATGACATGTGAGTGTTAGCCCGTCGGGATTAAAGAACGAACTACCCTTGAGGTCCTCCGGGCGCTTCCGCGACGTTCCTTGTGACACGACATGATCCTGACGCGTGATCTTAAGTACACACAGTGACTTGCTCGTCCGCATACGGAGGTAGTGTTTGCAAGGATTCGATTATCCATTATCGCACCGCGCATATCACACAATCACAAACACACACACACACACATACACACACACACATATGCACGCTGACAAAACAACGTCTTCCGAATTCCCTCCGTTCAAGGCTCTCGGCGTCCAAAAACGCTTGCAGGACAAAAGGTTTGAAAGATCGCGAAGGATGCCCGGGAGAATAACGTGACGATGAGTCGCGAACTCGCAACCTTGCGCGGTAGCCACCCTTTTCGCTGAAAGCGCGCCTTTTGATCGGAATTTCGAGTTGAAAAATAAATCGCCCAACTCTATACAGCCAGAGTCTGTATCTTCAGGCTCAAAGGAGGAGCGATCAGTTCAAGGTTCGATCTCGAAATGCCAACTGTCCGACCCGCTCGAAGTGGCCGTCTAGCTATTTTCAACTTGCGAAATCTATTATTCTTCCGTCACATCCACCGTCATCATCGTCGGTCTGTCCGACCGACGAGGCGCATCACGCCGAGTGCTGCACGCCTCCACTTTCGCCCTCTTAATTACGCAACCGCTTCGCCGAAGCGCCGAGTGTCGCGCGCGCGAGACTAATTGTCACCACCGTCTCTCTCTCTCTCTCTCTCTCTCTCTCTCTCTCTCTCTCTCTCTCTCTCTCTCTTTCTCTCTCTCTCTCTCTCTCTCTCTCTCTCTCGTCCGTGACGGACGGAAGAGAGCCGCGACGTTGTCTATCGTTGTCGAGGGACAACGACTCGAAGCGCAGCTCCGCCCGCCCGAGCTGGCGCGATACAGTCATCGCCGCTCCCGCGCTAATTACATACTCGACACGCGAGGAGAATACGCGCGATCGCGCGCGGGGCGAACTCGTACGTTACATTTAATTGGTACACTCAACTAGATCTACCGTCCGTTGGAGCGTGCGCTCGAAACGGCGGACATACAAATATCTCGACATGTAGGACAAATCCCAGAAGAAGGGCCTCGTTCAAGCGTCATTTCGCGTCCCTCGCGTCTCCCCTTCCGGACGAAGAACGATCGCGCGCGCCCACAAAAGCAGCGAGATCCTCTCTTAACAACTAGAGTATGTTACATGTGTACGTAGTGGCTACATTGTGACAAAATCCAGACAGCGATGTCTTCGGTAACGACAATGAAAGGACGACGCTCCGCGTCCCGTGTGGTCTGATTTTCGGGGGAGGATCTTCCTGAGAACCCTCGGTCCCCCTCCCCCCCTTCCCCTTCCCGTTCGCTCATTCGCCAAGATTTTTTCCCCTCGTTCGCTCGCTCGTTCGCTTCCCGTCTTCGCGACTTCCGACCCGAGTAACAATCGTGGCGATCATCCCGCGGATGACCCGGAAATCTCGGACCGGCGGACTCTTGTCGGCCAGACTTGGTGCCGGCCGCAAAGGAGGACCACCGCACCACGGTGGTCCTCTTCCAGTTTGATCGGCCGGTTTACGGTTAAAGTGTGATGAAAACGAGGCCGCTTCAGGGCGCCCTCGGCTCAGGCGAACCGCGATTACACGCCGGTGTGGTTGAATATATAAGAGACGTTGCTGTCTTGATGGACCGGCGGCCCGTGCCAGGCGCGTCTCGTCGACGAGTTATTGTTGTTATTATTGTTGTTGTTGTTGTTAACGTAGTACGAGGACTTGCGCATGCTCGTCGAGGAGGACATCATCGCGACGGTCTCGTAGTACCTGAGCTTGCCGCAGCACCGGCCGCTCTTGAGGATGGCGATGAAGCCGCGCCGGTACTTCTTGTTGAAGAAGGCATAGAGGATCGGGTTGATGCAGGAGTTGCTGGCGCCCAGCCACTGGGCGATCGGCGTGGCGATCGGCAGGATCTCGTCCTCGCGCTCGGCCACGTCGCCGCCCAGCTTGATCACCGCGAAGATCACGTAGAGCGGCAACCACGAGAGCACGAAGAGTATCACGACCACCACCAGCATCTTCACCACCTTCACCTTCGATTTCTGCTGTATCCTCTCCATCTGGGCGTCTTTCGTATCGGTGGGTATGTGCCTGCGCCACACCTTTATCCAAATGAGGATGTAGCAAAGGGATATGAGGATCATCGGCAGTACGTAGCAGAGCGTCAGGTTGCCAATCAGGAAGAACAACGAGCCGTCTTCGGGGTGCGGCCACGTCTCCAGGCAGAGACGCAGGTCTGGCTCGTCCTCGTAGATCGCGACCAGGTCGAAGAACAGGAGCCACGGCGACGTCATCGTCAAAGCGATGAACCAGATCACGACGATCATCATGCGTGCCCGCCGTTTCGTGATCTGACACTTTAGCGGCCACCAGATCGCCAGGAACCTGAAACGCAAACGGATGAATCGTTGGTAAAAGGTGTAGAGGAGATCATTTTAGGATTTTCGAAATCGATTCAACCGGAATGTGCGCCACAATTCCCACAATTCAAGCGTACAACAGTAAAATAGCAATAAAGTTTGATGTAACACAATTTTCTGCAGGGTTAACGATCGAGTCGATCACGAAACGTTCGTCTCGTCTCAACCTCTCAGGATGAGATTTCCAAGTTGACGAAAAGAAGCTTTGTTGCAGCGAATCTTTCCATCGAAGATCGCTGAAGAACGTCACATTCTCAGAAACATACGAACTCGAGGCAAGTCCGCGAGAGATCTTCCCCATCGCGAAGAGGAGGGCGCAAGAGGAGGCGAGGAGACTCAACGGGCGAACGACAGGCTCTCTACGACTCGTAACCAACTTGTTCGTCGCAGCTCGCAGACCGCAGCGTGCGCGGGAAATATTCGCAAATTAGATAACCGTCTGATTTATTGTAGCATTTGACGAAGAATGCAGAACGGCCGTTTTACAGGCAAAGACAGGTTCGCGACGCCCACACCCCGCCGCGCGAGAAATTGCGGTCTTCCACGCATACGGCGGCTGTATGAAACTGTCGACGAAATATTCCACTCGCTCTTTCGAAAGACACTCGCGCGCCCGTTACGCTCCGGCGGACACGCCACCGGCTGAATCGGGCGAGAGAATAGACACGCGGGGAACACCTTTTATGCGACGCGAGTTCTCGAGTTCTCGAGAACGCGCCGTGTTCCTCTTTGGAGCGAGAGCGTGACTCTGCGAACCACGTGGGAGGAGCCCGTCCGAGCTCGGAATTTTTAGCTGGTCGAGCAAGTCGCGCGGCTCGAATCTCGAATCGTGCAACTTGTTTACGGAGCCGGTGTCAAAGCCGGACTCGTGAGCGCAGAGAGACAGGGAGAAAAAGCGAGAAGAGGCGAGTGGCACATGAGGGGTGACTAGGCGAGAGGAGGGGAGAGAGACAGAGAGAGAGAGAGAGAGAGAGAAAGAGAGAGAGAGAGAGAGAGAGAGAGAGAGAGGACGGGCTAATTATTCAGTAAATTCCCGAGTGCCCACGCAGATCGCGCTCGCTCGCAGGCGGGGGCGCGGAGTAAAAAGCTGTATAAATCGTCTTGAAGCAGTAGCGAGAGGCGAACCATCAATCACGACGACGGCGGCGGCGGTGACGACGTCGCGCAGTGTTGTGAAACGGAAAGAGAGAGAGAGAGAGAGAGAGAGAGAGACGCTTCCTCCGTGGAGGCTTATTAATTTCGATCAAGCGCGCTCTCGAATCCGCAACAAATGAACATAGCCGCGGATGAAGGATCCATTCGTCGTCGCTCACGGATAAATCTCCACGAACTCCTTCGTTATTTCCAGCTGGTCGCTCGAAAGGAAATCCTCGAGTCGGACTCGCCGAGACACGGTCGCGAAGCCCGGCGAAGAAGTGCGCAAAAAGGACTCTCCTCCTGCTCATTAATTAAACAGCCCCGGACGGCGCCCATCGTCGACGCGGAAAACGTCGAACGCTTTCTCACCCGACGATCGTTCCCCATCCCCAGCTCCCGTCTTATCTCACGGATTCCGAACGGTGGGGATTCCGGATTCATTAAGCCATTCGTCGCGCTTCGTGTCCGCGGATTTTTGCCGCGCGATTACGCGAGCGCGCGCTACCCTTCCCCCCTGTTATCGGCGTCGTTTTCGTCGCCATTGTCGCCGTCGTCGCCGCCGCCGCCGCCGCCGCTGTCCTTCGGCACGATGAATAAAGTTTAAACGCTGTCGCCGTCGGCGCTCTCGGCTCTGACCTTCCATAAATCAACGCGGCCGATACCGATCTACGGGCGTTCTCACGGAGCGCTTCCGAGCGCCGCGGCGGTGGTACACGTGTATGCGGCACTTATCATGATAATAGCATGCGTACACATACGCACACACGCACGCACGCACGCGTGTGTATGTATAATGCGCGACGAGCCGGCTCCTCTGAGCGCGCGTCGTCGCACCGGCGAGGATGAGTCGCTGGAGCCCGGAAAAATCGCGGAAATCTGCCTCCGCCAAGGCCAATGATGGGCCGCGCAGTGGGGCGAAACAGCACAATGAGATATTCGCGATGATGATGCCGACACGTGTAGGGTATATAAAGGGATCGATTTCCCTGCTGGCCGCTACTGAGCCAGAGTGCCGATCTGGTCTGCATTGTCCGCCGCGCGTTCGCTAACGGGAAAGCTGATAAAACGTTTAACATGTTCAAGCTGGCAAGTATCGTCCGTCGTACGCTGCGAGGATTGCCGCTCGGCGATTCGTACGCTTGTGCTGCGCACGTGTGTGTGTGTGTGTGTGTGTGCGTGTGCGCACGTCCGATTTAGTTCCGGTCGGGGAACACTTCCGCGACGTTAATCCTTAAGCATCGCCGACGGTATGCCGGCGGCCCGTGCAAAGTTCTCGCGCGAATTTACGACGATGCGCCGTTGCGAGCGTTGTCACGAGGCGAATCGGATATTATTAACGTCGGGACACGTTACGATAAACAATAGGACACTTTTTTCGCGCGCGTATACGGCTGTTCGCGATGTGATAATTGCCTGTCGCGCGCACCCTGCGCCGGCACTAACGTTACAAGAGTGCGTCGACCCCGAGGGCCGGTGTGACTTTTGCCTCCTCTCTTTTTTTTCCTTTTTTTTTTTTTTTTGATAAACGCGTTTGTGCGCATATGGTAGATACGTTTGCGCTCGGTTTCGCCCGCTCAGAGTGCGATAAAACACTTGGACTCGAGCAAACAAACGCGATTCGATCAATCAGCGCTGTATAAACCCTTCGTCGGAATGATTACACTGAGTGAGAGTAAAGGTTACCGCGAAACAACAACGATGGATGCACACCACCGTCCATTAATCTCGATGTACTCGCAGAAGAAGATACCACGTGTTCAACGAGCGGAATCACGGAAGTCTAAGAAAAAATTGCGAAGAGAGACGAAGGGGACCTCGTTAATTAAAAATGAAGCTGCGCGGTGTTCCGTCCCTCGAGGAGCAATTTGAGCGAAACGTCCGCTTAAAAGTAGAAAAGGAAGGGAAATGTGACGACAGCGCGCAGAAAGACGAGAAAAAAGACTGCGGAGTGTATCGAAATTAATGGACGAAATTAATGGGAGTTTGGACAATGTCGCGATCGAAGCACAGCGCGGCGAGCGTCGGTCGTCGAAACTTTCGCGACGCGCGGATAATTGAAATACCATAAAAACACAACGACGTTATCGCCACGATAATGTGCATCGGGAAAGAGAAAGAAAGCGGCAGCGGATGAGAAGAAAAGGTGAGCGGCGGGGAGGTGGTGAATGAAAAAGATCGACGCTCGTTCTTGGCACGTGCCCGACCGCCTCGGGGTGATTAATTAGAGCGAGGTGATATCGAGTTGGCCGGTCTGCAAAAAGCGACCCGATCAGCCGTCGCTGGCGTCGGTGGCGAGGCTAAATGTTTCCCCGTCGGGGCTCTCTCTCTCTCTCTCTCTCTCTCTCTCTCTCGCTCTCGCTCTCTCTTCGGCGTATTCCCAATATCGTTCATAAGGCACATAAAAAGCGCATAGCCCAGGAAAGGAGCGAGCAAGAAGGAGAACGAGCCGGTCAGCCGTACGCCCAATTTCGCGACGCGCTTGCGACGCTCGACCCTCGACTCTCGATTTCTGCCGCAGATTCTCGTGATTGCCGCCGCAGTGGTCGCGGCCATGTGTGTGCCGACACCGGAGCCAGTACCAATCCCAGGACCCTCACCAAGGCCGCAACCAGGGCCGCTACCAGGGCCGTTACCAGGACCGCTACCAGGACCGCTACCAGGACCGCTACCAGGACCGCTACCAGGACCGCTGGCAGGACCGCTGGCAGGACCGCTGCCAGGACCGCTGGCAGGACCGCTGCCAGGACCGCTGCCAGGACCTGCGCCAGGCCCTCTACCGGGACCTCTCGGGGCGCCAGTGATAGGGCCCTATCCGGTGGTCTACCCGCCGGCCTACCTGAAGACTTACTATTACCCGGCGGCGGTTCCTGTGCCGTATTACGGCGGCGGCTACAAGTGGCTTCATCATGGCCCGCTCTACGTCTACTGACATCGATCCAGGATCTCCCGGGACACCAGAGAGACCGCCGGCACCGACACGAGTGTCTTCGCTTAGTACGGGGCTCGCCTCAACGCGCCAAATGATTCTGTACCGTGGAACGTCTTCCAAATAAAATATGCTCTTGTCGCAGACACCGCAGTGTGCTCGAACTACTACGGCGACGACGACGACAACGACGACCATTTTCTTCCCCCCCCCCTCCCACTGTCCTCCTCCCCCATCCCTCTGTCGCTTCAACCTCGTCGACGTCTCGGGCGTTCGCTAATTTCGCCTCCGCGAGACAGGATCTCCCCGCGTCGGGGAGTTTGGCAAACTCCGCGTTATCGAGCGAGCCATCAATTCCGTACGTTTGTGTTACGGCGGAATTTATGAAACACAACACGCATTATACCGCATAATCGCGCCGTTCGCGGCCAGTAATTCCGCTCCCACCTATTATCTGTCAGCGATCCATTTACGTGGCGTGACACGTTGAATTTCGTGCTTCTCCCTCCCTCCTTCCATCTCTCTCTCTCTCTCTCTCTCTCTCTCTCTCTCTCTCTCTCTCTCTCTCTCTTCTCTCTCTCTCTCTCTCTCTCTCTTCTCTCTCTCTCTCTTCTCTCTCTCTCTTCTCTCTCTCTCTTCTCTCTCTCTCTTCTCTCTCTCTCTTCTCTCTCTCTCTTCTCTCTCTCTCTTCTCTCTCTCTCTCTCTCTCTCTCTCTCTCTCTCGCTCTCTTTGAGAAACGTATGCTACGTCCTGATAAATAACTCGAAACAAACGTAAGGGGCAGGTGTTGGAGCGTGAGAGTTTTGCGAATCGAATAGCTTCTTTCGAATGAAAGGAGAATCGCGTTCTTTTTATCAAGCGGCTGCTATAAAATCGCCAAGACGCGAGATAACTGCGTTTCACGGCTGCAACGATTCCCTCGTTGTTCCGTTCAGCCGGGAGTCTCGGTTACCTCGTTTAACCTTACACGCGATAAGTGATTTCGGGGCATCCAGTTTCGGCCGATAATGAGTTAAGGCTGAAACTTCGTGTTCAAGTTGATACGAATCTGCAGGAAGTCGTGAAAATTCACCTTATCCAGCGTGCAAGACGTATATGGAGCGCGAGTTAGCATACTAATGCGCCAGCATACAGGACACGCTCGCCTGATAAAGGATATTACGGCGACAAAGCACAACCGTATCAGAGACGACTCCATTACTATTATCCCCTGAAGTTTATTTTAGGGAAGAGAGAGAAAGCAACGTGATAACGTATTTCACGCGATATGATCGCGCGATGTAACGGTTGCCAGTTTACACGCTCCGCCGGAGAGAGTGCACCTGCATTTTACATTATCATGGAAAATGCAGGCACGTCGCGGATATTTTTGCGCAGTTGGAGCGCGCAGTTGGATGAGCGCAAGCAATTCCCGTCCAACATCCCCTTTCGCGCTCGCGAGCTCGCGAGCAGCGAGAGGCAAGGGCGAAAGGCGGGGGGAAACAAGCCGAGTCCTTCGGGGGCGGATCATTCACTCTTCGATTGAATTTCCCCCGCCTTTTCTCCGCTGGCGAGAGATATGACGAGTATCACTTATCGAAACGTGTTGTCGACGCGCGCGTCTCCGAAATTTCACGATTGCGAGAACTCTGATCACGGAGTCTCGGGGTCTTTCTCGCGAATCACGAGAAGGACTTATCGCAGATGCGTGCGATACGCGAGCGAAACGTACCGTGACGCCGGGCGACGTGCGGTCGTCGGGATTTATCGCCCGGTGGCGGAGAAGGCGGAATAGAGGGCGAATTCCAGTGGGAGGAATCGTGGTGAAGCCACGGGCGACTTCGCGCCACCAGCTCCGCCGCTAATTTAGCAGCGGCTCTCGCGTCGATTAGACGCGAAGTCGTAAAACGCACAGGCGCGCCTCTTCGCGCAACTTCCTCCTCGTGTAACACACGTGCTTCGGCGCGAACGACACGCGGGGCGCCGTTCGACGCGCCAAATTCGCGATATCGCCGGAGATGAAGGCGGCTGATGAAGAGAACGCGCGCGCGCGTAACGGGGCGGACGTCTCGCCGGCTGAAAACACTTTGAAGACCCGCGGGGGCGGCGGCAGGATGATCATTTCGGAAGTGATTCACGCAGACGCTCGTAAAACGGAGCTTGGCTCTCTCTCTCTCTCTCTCTCTCTCACACGGTGTTAGTCGCGGGATATCTGCGTGAAGGCGCACGTATGCGTGTGTACGCGCGATCGCGCATCTCGGCGTGTCTACGACGTGTATCTTTATCGGAGAATGACGGGAAAAAGCGATGCGTTTGCGCGCTCGCTCCGGTTTATATCGCGTCCTTAGCGAGAGATACACTCTCGCTCAACAAAGATAGCCGACTGCCGCTGTTGAGCGGAATAGACGGTAAGAGCAAAGGATGTGAAACGGCAAGCGGAAAGCGTAAAAATTTCATCTCACGGGAACGCGGGCGCGCGGCGCGAGGGGGCGGGTTGAAGTATCATATCCCGATGACGGAGTATCGTTATCTCTTCTTTCTCCCGTCACCTCGACTTATCGTCAGATCGACGAGGACTCGACTCGTGGGATCGACTCTCTTGGTCGTCGGGGAGGGAGCCGGGGCGCGAAGAGCAATGAGACAGCACGACTCGCGTGTGGTGGCTAGGTTTTTAATTAAAATTTTATTAAAATTCCATATGGACAGGGGTCGGGTTCGGGGATGATGGCGGGATGATCGAGGCGAGAATTTGGTTCGATGAAGCGCGAAGAAAAGACAATCGTGGGGAAAGAAATCGGCCGATCCCGCGCGAAGCGCGCTGGTCCTTGGTCGCTTCGCGCGCGCATCATGCGTTTCGTTTCTCGCCTGATGCCCTTTCGCCGGCTCCGCTCCGCCGCTACGTTCACGGTCCAATGGGCCTGATTAACTCGCGTGCGCGCGCGCGCGCGTGCGGCTGATGAAGTGAGACGGATCGAGAAATCGCCGGTAACAATGCTGAGGGGGGTTGGGTTGGTTGAGTGCGCGCAATTTTCGCTTTCCTCCCACAAGCTGCCAGGTCTTTCCTTCGCGTTGGGGGAGCCAATTACGTGGAGGGGCGGTGGTGGTGGTGGTGTTGTTGGTGTCTTCTCTGTTTTTTTTTTTTCCCAGGGCGGTGTCGTCGTGACTCGGTGGTAGGTGGTAGGTTGTGAGATTACGCTGGCTCTCCTAGTTTAACCATGATATCCGCCGTATCCGCCGTATCCGCCGTATCCGCCAAGGGCGAGTCCATGGCCGCCGTATCCATGGCCGGCCAGGACGGTCCTGGTGACTATAGCGGGAGTGTGCACCGCGGGGGCAATGGGCTGAGCAATCACGTGGGCGCCGTGGGCGAGCACCGGAGCGGCGCTCACGACCGCCGGAGCGACGATCGGGCCGACGCCGTGGCTGACGGCAATGCCGGTAAGGCCACCGGGAGCGGCGCAGGCAACAGCCAGGATAGCAGCGAAGACAGCCTAAGAAGAAGATTGCCGAGTGCGTTTAGAGAGACCGGCGAACGGACTATGTTTCTCCTCGTTGTCCTCGCGCCTCGATCCTGTCTCTAGTCTCGTACGTATCATAGTCGTCTGTACACGCTCAATAGCGAGAGAAGTCGCGAGAGCTGGCCGAGGGTTAATCAAAGCTGCGTAGCAGCATTTCGCCGCGAGTCACGAGTCGATTCGAGCAACGATAGCGACCCGGACACCCGGGTGTTGCTTATCCGCGAGCGGCGCGGCTCCTCGGAACCGGTTTCACAGTCGTCGCCGCGATCGCACCCGCGAGATCGCGTGAGCGAGACAAAGTGAGGTCAGCTGGACGATAGTTGCGCTCACCACCCGATCGGCCGGCGAGGTCCGGCGAAGGGGGATCGTTTCGCAAGCGATCGAAAGAATACGCGAGGATCGCGCGGCAAAAATACAGCGCGAACTGCATTCCGCTTTGGCAGCCGCGACTGCACCGCCGCTGCCGCCGCCGCCGCCGCCGCCGCCGCCGCTGGCGGTGGGGTGCTAGTGGTGGTGGTGGTTGACTAACAATGTACATGCTTCAGTGATTTCGCTCGTGCACGGATTTTCGTATGTGCTGCCGTTTGCAGAGCCGCGAGACCGATGCCGGTGAATGGTGCGAACAGCAAGGGCGGCTTCGCGCTCGTGTCGTGTATTCGCGTGCACGCCCGCGCTCACGCGGAAAGGTCAACTCGGCAAAAGGAAAAGCCGAGAGAGACGAGAGTGTGAGAGAACAAGAAAGAGAGAGAGACAGAGAGAGAGAGAGAGAGAGAGAGAGAGAAAAGTCGGGAAGGAATTTTTTTCCCGTTCGCGCCTGCCGGCCGCCTCTCTATCGATCACGCGAAGCGCGACAAGGCGCGAGAAGCCCGCGAGAGAGAAGAGAGAGAGAGAGAGAGAGAGAGAGAGAGAGAGAGAGAGAGAGAGAGAGAGAGAGAGAGAGAGAGAGAGAGAGAGAGAGAGAGGAAAAGAGAGAGCCTCCGCGGCGGAGTAAGCATTAGAGGCTCTGTTTACTCGGGATGTGCATACAAGACGCGACGTTCCGAGTCAACGGCGCGACGGAGGCACCGCTGAAGGCACGCCAGGAAAATCCCACGAGTTCGAAAATAAGAGCGAGCTTTGGCGCTCCGCGGCGTAAAAGCGCAGATCCGCGAGAGCGAGAGGATCTCCGTCCCGCGGACGAGATCGTGACACGGTTTCTCCCGACGGATCGACAGCTGACGGTCGGCACGACCGGCGTGGGAGTTGTGTTCGCGGCGAGCCGTGAGAGAGAGAGAGAGAGAGAGAGAGAACTTCGACGGGGGAACGGTCGTGAGAGAGGCGTCTTTGCAGTTGAGCGGGGAGCAATCTGAGATTGCCGTTTGTTCGCGGCGAATTAACTCTTCGGGAGAATCAACAGAAGCTCTATTAGCTGTATTGTGTGCTGTTTTATAGTCTCATCGATCGGTCGTACAGTTGTCGGTCGATCGGTCGGTCGGTCGGTCGGTCGGTCGGTCGATATTCAGCTAATGGAATCGCGATAATCGGCAAACAAACGGAAACAATCAGCGGTCCGATTCACTCGAGCGTCTTGCGGTCGCGACCGGCGAGAAAAAGGGAATCACACACGAGAGCGGAGAGCGAGAGTGTCGCTTATAGAGACTACTATGAGAATGAATCGTTTCGGCTTACCAACTTGAACATGGTGATTGGTTGTGGGTTGCTTGTTACTTCTCGGAAGTAAGTGAGCTTATGCCTGTTTCGGCGACTCGGGGCCCTTATATACCACGTTGGATTTTTAAAAATCGCTATAAATTCAACCACGTGATCCCCCGCCATCACGAGTATGACGATATGTGTCGGTTAGTTGAGTCAGCCGATCCAACGGGTGGGGTAGTCGTCGGGCCAATCGTCGTACGCGATACTAGTTTCAACCGTCGCGCCGGTTGGCCAATAATGCGCTTTCAACCCTTCGCATCGGTCTCGAGAATTGGGTTAAGACACACTCCGTGTTGTAAGGCACCGGCACACGATGGAGAACCGATACGATACCCGCTACGGCTGCACACGCACACAGAAGACGAGCGTGTGTGTGTGTGTGTGTGTGTGACGCGGGGTGAGTGTATTGTACGCGTGTGGCAAGAAAAAAAGGAAGAAAAATAACCGCGCGTGGCATAGGTGCCGCTGAATGCAAACTCATTTCGTAAAGACGCAGCCAAGGTCTGCTCGCGCGGCATCGACCTTCTTCATCTTTTCTCAGGCGTGGAAACGGGACCCGCGGAGAGAACATCTTTTATGAGCCGAAATTCCCGGCGCGCTAAAGGCTTCCGCTGTCACCTGGCCACTCGATTTTTTCACGGAAAGAAGAGGATTCGTCTGTGCAAAGACTATGGGAAAACCGGTATAATTATGCGGGTCCTAATTAAAGAACTGTGGCGGGATTTGGATCTCAGCCAAGCGGCCCAAACAGGATTTCATCTTCGCGCACTTGAGGACACCGAGGTACGCGGCGTACCTCGCCGAATTAATAAATGACATCTCCCCAAGGATAGAATTCTCGTGTTCTTTCTATGCTTAACGCGGCCGCGGAGCCTTTTCCGCAGCTCCGCAGGATATCATTTTTGACAATTTGCTGACGAGTTGAAGAGCTCTGCTCTTTCGGCGATGGAAAAACCCCCATGATCACGTGGGCTCTAACTAAAGGATCGTAACGGGATTCGGTCGGCCAAGTGACCCAAAAGGGATTTAATCTCCGCGCACTTGGACCATGTCGGAGAGCGTCTCGCCGAATTAATAAATTATATTTCCCCAAAGATGCGATCCCCTGCCGTCCCCCGCAGAATAAATTTCTCGACACCCGTCCGATGTCCAATATGCACTCGATGCTTCCTGATGATTCAGAACGCGCTGCGGCGCGCCTATTATCGCGAAGCAGCATGGAGCTGATTCCGGCATATTCACAGAGCGCGTTTCACGAAGATCCGGACCGGGACGTGGCGCTACTTCCGCCTGACAATGAGAGCTTCAGCCAGCCACCGTCATGAGTCGTCGGCGCCCTCGCGGATTAAGTTATTTATTCCCTCGCGCTTCCGCTTCAAGCGTCAAGCCAACGGTGGAAGTTGAACGCGACGATCGGGGGAGGGGGGGGGGGCAATCGCGGAGATTAGAACGGCTCCCGTCGCCCGGGCGTCCGAAATTACGGAAGAGCAATCCAATCCTCGCGACGAGGGAGGGTCCCTCGTCGCGAGGATGCCCGCTTCCGCTAGCGAATGAAACTTTTATCAATGGGAAGCTCGTCGCTTTACATAATTCCCGGCGTCCCCTCGCCCCGCGTGCTCGGTCAGAGTCGGCGGGTTAGGTAACGCGAGCTCGCTAATGTCGCGACTCGGATTACCGGAGCGCCGTAAGGCGGAGAACGACATAACGACGGTACAACAAGTGCGATCGAGGTGTCGCGTGTCGGCCCGCTGGCAGTCATCGACGTGTCTTTTCGAGTGGGTCGTGCACGTACGTGGGAGTACGTACGCACGTGTGGGTGGCCGATGTGGGCAAGACACAGCGGGACCGAGTTTATCCGTCCGCCGGCTAAGCGTCGGCCATTAATTCCCTAAATCAAGAGCAACGTCGAAACCATCCTCTTGAATCCCGCGTCGGCTGGCGAGAGCGCAGTTAATCATCCGTAGCAAGAAATCCTTGCGTGTGTATATTCGCGGCGGTGCTTCGCGACATGTTGTGCGCGATGGCCGCGTGGTCCCTCTCTGCCGCAACGAAAATAAGATCCCGCTGCATTTCCGCGACGTCGTGAAAGCCCGCTCTCTTTTTCCGCTTCCCTTTTTCCCTCTCCCTCTCTCTCTCTCTCTCTCTCTCTCTCTCTCTCTCTCTCTCTCTCTCTCTCTCTCTCTCTCTCTCTCTATCTCTGTCGTCTCTCCGTGCCTCCGCCGAGCGACTCATCGAAAGTTTCGCGGAGCCGTTGAAAATAAGCGCAGCCCGCGAGCGGAAATATCTGCTCGTCCCATCGCGAGGTTCGCTGGAGCGAATAAGCGCCGCGGGCTCGCGCGTTTCGGGGCTCGGCGAGTCCCGTCGTTAGAACAATGTATATCTGCGGGCCCGAGGTCGAGGGCGCGGGTCCATCGTGCCGGAGGATTTCCACCGTTTCCTCGCCGGGGGGCACGGGGGGACAGGCGGAAGATAAATTTTCGGCCTGGTGTCTCTCCGCGCTGCATCGCCGCGCCGGATCGTATCACGACGGCGGGGAAGACGCATTCTCGTGCGCGCACGTGGTAGGACAATTCCCCAAGTTCGACAATTCCTCCTTTCGCCGCCGAGCAATTCCGAGCCGGAAGATCGATCGCCCCCGAAGATCCTATAAAACTATTCCCGGGGCTCACACGATGGGCGCCTCCGTTCCACGTCGACTAACGTGAAATTGATAGCGGGTCGTCGTTCGCCAAAACGTAGACGTGTCTCGGCTAAGTTCCATCTCTCGCCGGCTGCTTCCGTCCAATTCCGATTGTCATTCGCGATCGGGGATGATTTCGTATTTTTACGACCCCCTCCCCCGTAGTTCGGATTGTATTCCCTCGGCTTTCCTTCGGCTCACTTACTCGCGAGGGATGATGACAGTCGAGCGAGATACACTCGCAGAGACTACTTCGTCATTAGCCTCGGGTACGAATATAATTGCTCAGAACATAGTAACGGGCGATAACGCGATCCGAACATCCCTCACACACGCCAAACGCCAAAGTGGAAAGTCCCGCTTTGCTCGAGGAAGGAGTTCTCGCGAGGAGGAGCAGCGGAGTCCCCGGTATCGTAGCTTCAGATCGAAATATCAATCGACGGAGATCCGCGAGATTTTTCAGCGAAGAGCCGCAAACATTAGCCGAGCGCGAACGAGCGCGGCTACGAAGCCGAGCGATCACCACCGCGTTTCGTCTCATCTGCTTTCATCTGCGCGGTTTTTCGCCCACGGCGCGGCGACGACACGGGTCACATGCGATGGCTCGCGGGGCCTGCCGGGCCAATCGGCGGTAAAAATTGTTTTATCGCGTGTGTCGCGCGATTTCTCGCGCCAAGTGGACCTCATGCGAGAAATTACGCGCGGCCGACGTGTGTCCAATGAAGTGTGCTTCTACATAATGACGATATAAATGCCGATAATGCGGCATGTAAATATTACGATATGTCGTGCGACACCAGTGCATTGTGTCCGCCGCATTAATGCGACGTTTTGTGTACGTATTACATGACAAATTTTGATCGTAGGTCTAATGTGCGCCCGTTTCCATCGGTCGATACCCGCCATAATGCTATGGAAACGCATTGATTATGTGTGCGTTACAGAGCGTAGCCTATAATTATTGTCGGTGTGCGCGTTGCATTGCTGATGAGAAGTAAATATGTCACGGCAGTGGCCGCCACCGCCGCTCGCGAGACTGTCGCAAGAAAGCGTTTGAATTACGTCAGGCGTGTAAACGGATTTACATGCTTTTCCGCGGTTCTTATCGCGCGCGAGAAAATGCCGCGATGTGAAATTCATCAATGGCTTGTCAACTGTCCGAATAATTCCCCGCTTAATCCGCGCCCGACTCGCGCTGACAAAACGGGTTCGTTCGTGGAAAAAAACGGCCTTTATCGCGCGGTCACAGAATAATTAATTCGTTTCCCCGATATATCGGCGAGGGGGGAGGCGCGGCCGCTCATCCGGCAAATTTCAGGCAACCTTGTCGAGCCTCCCTCTCCCGGGCGGATGCCCGATGCTTTAGGAATGAGAGATGAGCGTAAAACTCTGGCGCGCCCTCGAATTAGCATACGCCCGGCGAAAAAGAAGGGAAAAAACGAGGCAGGAAGGCGAAGGCGAAGGCGAAGGCGAAGGCGAGGAAAAAAGATAGACGCGGATAGAGAAACGCGCTCTCCGGTGCCAGACTGCGTGTACTTGTTGAGTGTGTACGTACGTGTGTTCGCGCACACGTCCGTGTATCTACGCGCTTTCCTGTGCGGTAAGATAAAAGACGGAGAGCCCGAGGAGCACAGTACATACCTGTCTAGGGAAACCGCGACCAGGCTGTAGACGGAGGCCGCCACGGAGACGCCCTGTATATAAGCGACCGCTTTGCACATGAACCATCCCAGGAACCAAGCTGAAACACACACGAGCAGTTCGTAATTTATCGTTTCGAGTGTCGTTCGAGTGTCGGGCGAAACTTTGGAAGGCCGAGAGAGAGAGAGAGAGAGAGAGAGGGGGGGAGGGGGAAAGGGCGAGTTGCGGCCGAAGGGCTTTTTAGCGTTTAAGGCAACTGGCTGAGAGCGGTGGACTTACGAGGAGCGAACTTGCTGTTTGGCTTAGCGGCTGGGAGAGAGCAGCGTGATGCGCGAGGGGCTTATTGCCGACGTAAGCGCTCGTCGCTCATCACGTCGCGAGCGGAGATGAACGGTCGGAGATATCTTATCGCGACGACGATGTTCCCGCCCGTTCGCTCTCGTCCGACAGAGAGAGAGAGAGAGAGAGAGAGAGAGAGAGAGAGAGAGAGAGAGAGAGAGAGAGAGAGAGAGAGAGAGAGAGAGAGAGAGAGAGAGAGAGAGAGAGAGAGAGAGAGAGAGAGAGAGAGAGGTTAACACCTACCTGTGTCGGTTTAGCGGACAAAAGCCGACGTTTCTCGAAACTAGAAAGGTCGTTCGCGAGTTTTTCAGCTCACATTCGCGAATTCGGCGAGCTCCTCTGTGTCGTGCCCGTTGCGCGGGGCCTGTTTTATCAGGCGAGTCTGACGAGTAAACCTCGGGGAACGTCAGACGCCGATTTGTTTCCAATTTTTTATAGTTATTTTTTATGTCAAAATATGAAGAAATCTGTTATCATTTTTAGCTTGAATTAATTTTTTAAATTTTTTCGAAATTTTTCAAGTTTTGCACAAGTACACTATTTTATATATATATATATATATATATATATATATATATATTTAAAACAATATTTCTTAAAAAAATATATATATGATTTGTTGAAACTTGCACACACATGTCGCCGATTATGAATCAGAACCATTTTGTAGAATTCAAAATGGCGGATCTAATATGGCTGACGTCATTGTTAAAAAAGTGTTCAGTTTTACGCTACATTCGACGTTGGGTAATCTTTCGGCTCACTGTCCAGCAAACAAGCTCATTTTAACGTCAAAATATGTTAAAAAATGAACAAGAAATGAATAAAAAAAGAATGAACAAAGAGCTTCAGAAATTTCGAAAAAATTGAAAAAATTAATTTAAGCTAAGAATGATAACAGATTTCTTTATGTTTTGACATTAAAAATAGCTGTAAAAAATTGGAAACAAATCGGCGTCTGACGTTCCCCGAGGTTTACTTGTGAGCGTGGAATATTTTGTCCCGCGAATTTCCTCATCACGCGAATTCATGAACGAATTTGCGTCGACTCAATTCGCCAAGCGAGGGTCGCGGAGGGGGATCGCGTTTCTCTGAGAGCTGCGCGAATATTATATTCAAATGGAATAACAGTCGCGGTTGTGCGTTAGCATTATTCTAAACACGTCACGTGATCGTCGCTACGCGCTCGTGCGCAATACGGGCCTCGTGATTTTCCGTCCTCAGAAAACGGCGATCTCCAGCTAGAGGTTCGTCTTAGTTGAGACACTGTCATCATCGTTCGCTGATAAAACGGCGAACGCATCATTCGTGTTAAAAAAAAAAGAAACAATAAAGAAAAAAGAAGAGAAGAAAGAAAAAAAAGAAAAAGACGCAGGCTATCAAATTTATGATGAATTTAAAATCCGTGCCGCGCGTGTCACGCAAATTCCCGCGACCCGCTTCGCAGCCAGAAACAATACGAACGTGATTTCAGTTTCTATTATTAACAGCTTCTCTACACGCGCGGTCGTTACATTCATTTTTCAAAGGAACGAGAAAGTAATTAATTCCCGCGGGAGCTCGAGAAGCTGGAGAAGCAGGAGGACGAGGGCGCTGGAAGAAGTAGGAGGCGGAGGAGAGGCCGAAACAAAGGGAATTCTCATCTAGGACCATCGATCATCGTCTGCCGATTGACGGCGCGGTAAATAATTATCTCGCATAATACAATATCACGAGAAGAGGCATTTGGTAGTATAATGCCGTGCCGGCCGGCGGGAAAAACTCGCAGCTTTCTCAGAATAATAGGGCTACGTCGACGGGGCGCGGGAGCTGGGGAGGGGAGGGGGAGGGGGAGGGGGAGGAGGGGGGGCCAAGAGAGTACAGGAGGGTCCATCAAAAGGAAAGGTCGCTCGTAAATATCAAGCGACGCCTACTGTGTAACGTCGCCGAGCGAAGAGAGCGCGAGAGCGGCGTACACGGACGTTTTCGATTTCCGCGACTGACCTCACTTCATACTTCTCGCCCCGGCCAGTCCCGCAGGGAGAGGCAAAGGGCAGGGTAGGTCTATCGGGGTACTTTCGCGAGGAGATACTGCACCATCGGCGTCTCCGGCTTGGGGAAAGAGTCGCGTCGTAAATTCCAGCCGGCTGCGGAATAGAGCGGAATGGAGCGGGACGGTCAGCGCGCGCGATGCCACGACCCTCGTCGGCGCTCGACGGCGCGCGTACGCGATAATGCGAACAACGCGCGCGCCGTTCGAAGCGCGCAAGGTGCAGCGCGACGTGCGGCGAGGTGGGTGTTCCCGGTGTGTCGAAAGCCGCTTGTTTGTTCGGACTCGATCGCCGCCGCGCCGTCCCGCTTTCTTCCGACAACGACGAGCCCGCGCGCGAGCGGCGCGCGGGCGGGCGGACTCGGGCGAATTCCAGCCGGTGGCGAGGATTTAAAGCAACGAATCGAGCCGGAGGATTTCAACAAACAACGGGCGGATTTTTACTCGAGACCAGGCGGACTTTTATTCGCGCGTTTACGTCGGGATTTAGTCGAGTGGAATTTCACTCTCCGCTCGCGCGCTAGAATTATTAATCGGATTTCTGGGCTTGAGAAAATTACGTCGGAGAGTATATATGCAGTGGAAAACGAGAGAAAGAGAGAGAGAGAGAGAGAGAGAGAGAGAGAGAGAGAGAGAGAGAGAGAGAGAGAGAGAGAGAGAGAGCGGCTCTCTACGACTAGATAAGATCCTAACGACACGTAGATCGCGTTGATCTCCTTTTTTACTCCTCCTCCCGGAAAGAGAAATTGAGAAAGATTCAAGAGAGAGAGAGAGAGAGAGAGAGAGAGAGAGAGAGAGAGAGAGAAAGGGGCTCGGACAAATATTTCCATCGGAATATAAAACGGAATGCTTCAGTCGAGTGGCGTTCCTCCTTTCCACCGGCCGTCGAGGAAGACGTTTCCGATCTCGGCAGGACTCGCGGCAATTTTTATTTCGACGGCAATTTCTTTGAACAATGCCGAACACTTCGGCCAACACGATCTGCTGTGCCACGAGCAGCCGATACCGAGAGGCATTGTGCGCGGAGTGAATGGCGCGTACGCACCGAGGTCGTGTAGAAAGGAACCCCTCCCGTGCCTGGTCTTAGATCGTGAATAACGTTAAGCGCATAATTATTAACCGCTTAAGCGCCGGGAGGGGTCGCAGAAGTATACGACACAAAAATGCCACACGAGGCAGCGGTCCAGACGCCGATACGCTCGGCGAGTAAAGGCGACCGCGTTACGAAAACTCTTCTCGAGTTGCACAATCGCGTAAAAAATCGCGTCAAATAGCGAGACGAGGCACAATGTGCCGAAAGCCCCGAAAAGTGGCCAAAATTAATTATGGCTGAACCAGGAAGGTTAGCCAAAAACTGATAATTGAAAATAGAACCGTAGCATGAGGAGTCATTTTTCCGTAAAAAGGAAGTTGCAAAAATCAATGTTGCAATTAATTGTTATAAACAAATAACTAAATAATGACTGTAGAACAAAACTGATTACGCTACTCGATTCTACGGGAAAAATACGAAAGTAACATAATAGCGTAATAACTAATAGCGTAATAAATAATATTGATATATTGTTTAAGTAAATAACACGTATATTTTTGTTTTTATATTTTTTTATTTTTGTTTATTTTATTTTTTTTTGTTTTTATATTTTTGTATTATTTTATGATATATAGTTATTCATCATGCAATAAAACTATCTTCCAAAGTTGGAGCTGCTAACAATTGAAGAACTTCTGTAGGAAAAGGATCAGCTTTTTTAACAGAAGTTTGTTTGAAGGACGAAATGACAGGGTCTGAGGAAAGCAAAAATCTTTTAAATAATAATAATAATAATAATAATAATAATAATGATTCCCATTTCTACCTAGGGGGAGATTTCTGTCACGGTAATGTTATAAAATAGTTTATATATATAAAAACAAAGCAACAAAAAATGTTTATTTTATATAACCTTTAGCTTTTATATTTATAATTTTCATATTTATATTTTTATTGTTATTAGTTTTTTATATTTATATTGTTTATGTTGTTTATCAATTTATGATTTGTTTATTTTACGTTAAAAACTACAATTTTCCCCGTAAATGTTCACGGTAAACATTTTTTGTCATATACGTAACATATATGTTAAATGTTATATATAGAAATGGTTCTGCTACATATATAAGCTTTGTTGCGTTTCAGATATGTAACAAAAGTCAGATATATAGCAGAAACATCTCTGTGTATAACATTAAACATATATGTTACATATTCGACATAAAATGTTTACTAGGTTGCATTATTAAACAGTTGTTATCGTGTTCGAAATAAATAAAAGTTTAAAGTTTGTGGTTAATTGTTAGTTTGTTTGCCAACGTCATAAATTTAACTAGAGTAAATTATTTTGGTCGACAATTTAATTTTGATATGAATCAGTATTATCTACAACTGAGAGGATTTGACCGTAAGCGTATAAAGTATGGACCGCTGCTCATAAAATTTATCATATCTTTATAACCGCTGGATACCGCTGTTTCTACTTCTGTATAAACATTAATAAACATCCTACCTTTGTTTTGACAAAAGTACAACGTTGTGGCAGATCGTGAATTTTTTGTATGCCACGAAATAGATGATAGACAGTATATAAAATATAACTTTTTTACATTTAATTGTTATGTGATATATAAGACATTCTAATATTATTTTCCTTGTAAATGAAAGTAAACGGATCAGATATTAAACAGGAAAAGTC